TGTGCTTGGCCATCTGCATCTGGTGATGTGCCAGAGAGTTCGCCTCCTGTGCCAGGGTGGTCATGGCAGCACAATCCTCCTCAGACATCCTCTGGAAGAATGGTTCTGCCTTTTCCCATAGGATTTGCTGGTACGCTCCCATTCACGCCCCATAGTTCGCCATGCGGGCCAGTAAGAGGGCACCAGAGTAGAGCTTCCTGCCCACTGCGTCGAACCTCTTTCCCTCACGGTCGGACGGCGCCGAGGACTGCCTTCCGAACCCTTGAGCCGCCTTCATGACCACCGAGTTAGGGTCGGGGTGGTGTTTCAGCCACTCCAAGCCCTCATCATCAGTTCTGTACCAAGATTCGATCTTCTTGGATGTTGGAGGGATGGATGAAGGGGTCTTCCAGGAGCCTTGGATCACCTCGAGGAGGTAGGGAAGGAAGGGTAGGAGAGGAGCGGGTGGGGACTCCCTCTGCACCCTCTTGAACACTGTGTCTAGCACTGCCTTGGAGGTTTGCTTGACCTCCAAGCCTAGAGCGTCAGCCATGCGAGCCATTTGATCCGCAAATGCTCGGACATTGTCAGTAGGGGATGGCGGATCAGCCTCATAGGCGTCGTGGGTAGGTGACCTCTCGATCCCGAGAGACAGCACCGATCCCGAGTGTACCGATCCCGGTAACTCGCCATCCTCTTCATCATCGTCAGCAGCCAAGGATCGGGGAGGAGGGGATGAGGAGACATCCCGACTCGCAAGCTGCAGAGGAGCCACTGGAGGAACTTTAGAAGCCGAAGCCTGGATGGCACGGGCTAGCCTCATCGTCTGTCTGCCCCTCTCTGGAGTCTCCCGCACTGGAGAAGTCTCCTGTCTGGTTGTCACAGTAGCCAACGTCGAGACCGACGGGAAGAGCTCCTGTCTGGCTGTCACATGGCGAGTCGGTGCCTCGACCACCGTGTCCACCGAAATCACCGGGGACTCGGGCTGCTCTGACGGCTGCTCCGGCACGGGTTGTGGGACCTGGGCCGGTTGCGGGGGCACCTGGGGCTCAGCAGGCTGTACCGGCGATGACCTCGCAGACGAGGTGACCGAGGAGGCAGTGGTCTGCCTTCGGGAAGAGGGAGAAGACGAGGGTGGAGGCGGCATCGTCTTCTTCTTCTTGGCCGGCGGCTGAGCAGTTTTCGATGTCGACTTGCCCGGGGTGGGCGGAACGGAGGATGAGGTGGAAGCTCGCCGTGACTCTCCTGAGACCGGCGGAAAGCAATGCGAACCGCCGTGGAAGATGGCGGGGTCGCCGACGTCGACCTCGTGGACCTGATCGATCTCACCGACGCCACCGAGCTGGTCGATGAATGTCGAATGCGTACGGTCTCGGTCGTGACCGTGCAAGGAGCCTTCTGCTTCGTAGGCTTTGCAGCCTTGGAAGCTGTCGACACAGAGGCCTTCGAGACCGTCGACATGGCTGGTCTCGGCCTTTTCTGTGCGGCCTTCTTCGCCCTTGTCTGGCGAGGCCTGGTCTCCGTCGAAGGATCAACAGATGTTGATGTCGATGCCTTCTATGTCGAGGGTCCGGTCACCGCAGCCGACGTCGACGCCGCTGTCGAAGTAGAGGGTACCGGGGCCAACGTCTGTTGGTACAGAAGGTACCGAAGCCGATGAACTCGGTTCTTGCGGGACTGTGCCGTCAACGATTGACAGTGCCGACACGAAGAAGTAATATGTGCCTCTCCGAGGCACAGAAGGCAAAGAGCGTGCTTGTCCGAATCAGGGATCTTCCTCGGACAATTCGCGCATCTTTTGAAGCGAGTTGTTGACATAATCCGGTCAACAACTCGAGAGACAATCTTAAGAGAATCGCTATCCTACACTATCCAACTATTCCTAGAAGTCCGAAGCGAGCCGTGCGGCGGAAAAAAAGGAATTGGATCGGTGTGCGCGGGGCGCCCTTTTATCCCCTGCCGGGGCTGGGCGGGGTTACCGCCAAAACTTGAAAAGTTTTTGAAAAGTAGAAGTTTCCGTTGGAGCCCGCGCAGGCGCAGTCTCTCCACAAGTGTGCATTCGCAGAGACCACGAAGAAAAAATACATTTTGATATTGATAAAAGAATAGCAATATCTGACATGTAAAATTCTATATCAAGCTAATCTCTATTAGTTCATCAATAAAGAGATTGCTTAGTGATCTGGAGGCATAGGAACTCGCCTTTTACTGTTGTGCTTCATGAATATACTAGGGTATGCATTCTGAACGTATGAGAACTGGACCATGCTAAATATCCAGTTTGGTCCAACAATCAAAGAGGCTAATAAAATCAGTGTTGTTTTAACACAGACGTTTCTTGTTCCTCTCTCCAGGTATGAACAGGCCTATTTGACTAGTCTAATTGGACTGCATTCTGAAAGATATTTTTGGATAGGCCTCTCAGATGTAGAGCAACCAGGGACATTCAATTGGACCAATGGAGACAAAAGTTTGTTCAGCCATTGGAATTCAGAAATGCCTGGTATGTACTCCAAAGGGCTTCAGAGATGAAATATGATTGTGGAAAGTCTTTCTATTATTTTGGGGTAGAGGCAAGTGGTATTTATATGAAGACAACTTCAATGTAACTGGTTCCTGTCTTGTATCCCCAAAAGGGCAACGTCCTGGTTGCGTGGCCATGAGAACAGGAACGGCAGCTGGATTATGGGATGTTGTGGACTGCAAGGAGAAGGCAGCTTTCCTCTGCAAACAATGGGCAGAAGGTGTGACACCCCCTCCTGTCCCACCAGTAACTGTCCCACCCCCATGTCTAGATGGATGGACCCCAAGCCCAATTAGGAATGTGTGCTTCAAAGTAAGTGTACAGATTTTTTGATGCAAAGTTATTCCTTCTACATACAGTGAAGCAAAGATGGAAACCTGGAATTTAGAAGTGTTTTACCAGCTGCAAGATTTTATTGAGATGAAGATTGGGCAGTTTAGAAATGTCCGTATTCAGAGTGGATCAATTAAAGAGGCATTAGATTTGTCCCTGGCTTAAAGGATATTGTTTACTCGAAGTGATAAAATGTCCTTATAATTTTCTGTTTTTTATATACATTTAGAACTTTGATGAAAAATACCGTAAGAAAACATGGTTTGAAGCAAGAGATTTTTGTAGAGAAATTGGAGGAGATTTGGCTTCTATTCATAATGATGCAGAACAACTGATAGTAACGTGAGTTTCACAAAACGCTTATTTCTTTTCATTGTCTGAACATTAAAAGGAGTTCTGGCCCAAGATTTCTCAGAATTCATGAGTTAGCCTTATATACAAGCAGCACAACAGTGTGCATATTGGTTCCATAATATGTCCTAATGCATTCAGTGCTGCTTTTCTCAAGAAAAAGTAGTTAGGGTTACAGCTGAAGATAAAAGTACACTATCTGATTGTTGAGATAATAGAATTGGCTGCATGATGATGATGAATTTTTTTAGGAAAACTCAAACTTTCAAAGAAGAAGAAGTGTTTTTAACTAATAGTTCATTGTTGTATTTTAACGTTTTGCTGTTCTCACCTTGATCCATATCAAAAGGTGGATATAATAATAATAATAATAATAATAATAATCACGATCTGTCAACTGCAAAAGGCCACCTTATTTGGATATGCGCGTATCATTACAAAATACATTACACATTTATTTTTATTTATTTATTTACAGTACTTCTATTCCACCCTTCTCACCCCGCAGGGGACTCAGGGCAGATTACAGTATACATATACATGGAAACATTCAGTGCCAAAGACACACAACATATTTATTTATTTATTTATTTACTTTACTTTACTTGTATACCGCAGTTTCTCAGCCCGACAGGCGACTCAACGCGGTTTACAGCAAGGGTAAAAAGTCAATTAAACGATATACAATTTAAAAGCCATTAAAAGCATAGTATACAAAATAATGACACATCAATAACAGCCCAATAACATCTCGTAACTAGAATCGTGATCCAATTCGTCGTCCATAATTCCGTTCCTGTGTTCATCATATTCTTTGCACTGTTTATCCGAATGCCCATTCAAACAGCCAAGTTTTTAATTTTCTTCGAAATACCATTAGCGAAGGGGCTGATCTAACCTCCGTGGGAAGGGCGTTCCACAGCCGAGGGGCCACCACAGAGAAGGCCCTGTCCCTCGTCCCCGCCAGCCGCACCTGTAAAGTAGGCGGGATAGAGAGCAGGGCCTCCCCAGAAGATCTCAGAGTCCTGGTGGGCTCATAGGCAGAGATACGTTTGGATAGGTAGCTTGGACCAGAACCGTTTAGGGCTTTATAGGCCAACGCCAGCACTTTGAATTGTGCCCGGTAGCAAATCGGCAGCCAGTGGAGCTGGTGCAGCAAAGGAGTTGTGTGCTCCCTGCGCTCCGCTCCTGTTAGTATCATTGCTGCCGAGCGTTGGACTAGTTGGAGCTTCCGAGCCGTCTTCAAAGGCAACCCCACGTAGAGAGGCAATTTAATATTCCAGCTTTTCTTGAGGGTATTTTGTCCACCAGGGGAGCTGTTCCTTCACCAACATTTGTGACACTAATGAAGTACTTCCTCATTCTTTGCATGCTTGCTGGAGATTTTTATGGCTTCATAAATTAGTTAAATTTGCCTCTCCGCTTAAGCGGTACCTAAATTTCCTACCTGACAGATGGAACTGTCTTTTGGGCTACAAAGGTCGACAGACAGTGTTTTTCTAGCATACAACTGGATGTGCCAGAGATAATGTGTATGGTGCCTCCTATGTTACCACGTATGCAAATCTAGATTATATTCCATTTAGGACTATATAATGGCCCCACATAACATTTTATAATTAGGAGGGGTTGCATGTATACACTCTTAGCAGGACTGAAGTTTCCAAAAGCAGATAAGAGAAAATGTAAGTGAGGTTTGCAACCTGTGCTTCGACAAAGCATGCAATGAGTTAATGTACAGAGATAGCAATTTGATCAACTTACAATGGAATTTTTAACTCTGATAAAAAATCATTATTATACCATTTGTTCATCAATATTAATGTATTTACTTAGCTTTCAAGTAATCACCATATCTATTATTAGCTCTTAAAGGATATATACGTTTTTGGGGATGTTTCAGTCTTTTTTTGTTTATATTTTTAGGAGGCACAGAGATGATTGCTGGATTGGTTTAAATACTTTAGATCCTGAGAAAGGATTGGCTTGGACTGATGAATCTCCTGTAAGTAAAGTGTTACTACTGGTACATTGGTGCTATAGTTATTATTAATCCAACAGTGTTAATGTTGGATTGGAAAACGGAAAAGGAAGAGCCCACACAATTAATCATTAGCATCAAATACTTATTTCAATCTGTAAAATTATTTACAGAGCTTCAATTTTAACATGAACAACAACAAGAACATAATAATAATAATAATAATAATAATAATAATAATAATAATAATAGTAGTAATAATTGTTACCCACCTCTACCATTAAAATGCATATATTAAAATACATAAAACAAAGATTCAAAGACTGTTAACTTGCACTGAACTATTACATCTAGTTTTAAGAGGGCCAAGAACACTATCATTTTACAATGCCTTTTTCACATTCATGAAAGAGGGATTCTCTGTATTGGCCCTTTGGGATGCATTGGGATGCTGTCCTGTTAGATCTTGCTTTTGTTCTCACAAACTGAGATCATACTCTAGAACACCCTCCAAAGTTTCCATTGTGCCTCTTATAGGAGAACATTACTATCAGCGGGTGCTTGATTTTAGAAACATTTCTCAGTGAGTGTTCATTATCTTAGACGTTGTTGCCTGTTTTTGGTCAAAAGATATTTAGCCGCCTGCACACCTTCTATTTTTATCAGTTTTATACTAATTTATGCAATGCTTTTAATACGAAATAAATAAATAAATATTAGATGCCATACAAAGACTTCCCATATTGGTATTAAAATGTCAATAGAAATATGGGATGAGAAATACCAGAGCTGCTAAAAAAGTGAACTGGAAAGATCTATTAATCCATGGATATACAAAAAAGAGGTGCTTGTTGGAAAGAAGCTAACATTAAAGAGCTATGCATTTCCCCCTTTGTTTTTTGCTTTGCCACCTTGGTGCCTGACTTAATGGTGTATGATGTGAAGAAACCATGGAATATTAATTATGAGTACATGTGTGGCTTAAAGTAGGACCAAAAATACAGTATTTATTTACACAGATGGGGTGCTGAGAGTAGAAGTGTACTGAAAGTCACATATAGATCTTTTCAGGATTATGTCCTGAAATCATTTTAATACTTTCTCCCTGATCATATGGGCAGCTTTGCTGGTGTCAGCAAACACACCTGTCAGGACCTCAGTTAATGGTGACCCTTAGGCTTGGGTCCAAATCAGTTTGACCAAAATTTATTTGTAATATTTGGTGGTCCATTTCATATAATCTCTGAAAACAGAACTAGGAGGAGGGAACCTAAAAACTTGCCAAAACGGATAAAGAGAGCCAGATTTTATCGGCTACTGGAGAGGATGAGTTAAATCTGCAATATACCTGAGGCAGGGGTCTGCTGCAGGGCTCCTGGAAAAGATGAGATTATTGCAGCGTATTTTTCTCCCTCCCCTGGCAGCAGCAGCAGCATCCATCAATTTCTTTTTGGAAAGTCCCCCTAGGCTCCTCCTTCAGAGAGAGCCCTGCTGGGAACTCATTTTCCCAGCAGCACTTGCATGGGACGGGCATTGTAAAGTCTCTGAGTTCCTTTCGGAGCATGATGGGAGTTAAAGTTTTTCTCTCCCTCTGTTTCTCAGCCAATAAATAGCCTGATTGTGTCTATGCTCTGATTGACTGAGAATGGACACAAACAGTGACTACAATTCTCAGAACCCTCTCTTGCAGTTTGTTTTATTTTTGAAAAAAAATGTTATGGAAAAAACTTAAAATAATCATAAAAAATCAGGAAATTGGTGGATTGTTTTGAAATGTGGCAGGCCTGCAGTTGTAAATAGGGTATAAAACTCAGGTAGGTTTCATGCAGATAGGCCTTAAAATGGCTGAGGATTGAGACTTTAAAGTTTCCAATTGTAGCCAATGGGCCAAATCTTTGCCGAATGAAAACGGCAACAACCCTCCCAATTTGAGTAACTTTCTGGTAAACAGAATGGGGGGAAATGGACCCCAAATGGACCCCAAAACAGCATATATTTTGGCCGAATTGCACACCTCTAGCGATCACCAAATGGAACCAAATCATTTTTTGATTGACTGGCCTGTCTAAATCCCACTTGCAGCACTGTTGTGGGTCAAGAGCAGAGTGTGTGAACAGATCTGTGAATTCCAGGGCTGGTATGGAGCATTTCTGCTCCAGATCAGCCCCAGATTATGATGTACACGTGGATGAGACATATATTACTGTAAGTATATCTCTTTCCCAAGTGTTACTGCTGGTGGTTTTAGAAAATATGAAACAGAATTTAACTTCTTTATCTATAGGTAGACTATCAAAAGGGAACTGACTGGTCATCACTTTCCCGAAATAACAAACCAGGTTGCAAAATAATACGTACTTATGGATATTGGACAACTGTCCCGTGTGACTCTTTGAAGAAGTGGATTTGCCAAATAAAAAGGGGTAAGACAAATACGTGCTCTGTTGTTTTTTAAACAAAAATTAAGAGCTTCCTTTGCAAGGATTTTAATATCCCATGATCTTTTCAGAGAAGAGTTGAAAAATTGTTCAACATCAACTCCATATAATCTGCATTACAAAATAGTTCAGAGTTCAAATTCTTAAATTTTATATCATGTCACATAATAAACTGTAGTACATTTCCTACTTTAGTACACTGAAAGCATTGTATCTTCAATTTATGTTATGTATCTTCAACTTATGACCGATGGTGACTTTCAGGTGAACCTTTCCTGAGGTTTCCTGGTAAGAATGGTTCAGAGAGGGTTTGTTATTGCCTACCTCCAAGACTTGCCCAAGAATTTCCTGATGGTCAAAGCTGTTTGGTGGTGTAATATGCTGCCTTGCAACATGGTGGAGACTCCTCCTCTGAAAATTTTTAAGACTGGATGGTCATCTGTCAGGAGTATTTTGAGTGTGTGTTGCTGAACAGGATGGCCCTTGTGGTCTCTTCGAACTCTATGGTTCTAGAAAATCACCCAGTGTGTGCCGTCGCGCTTGGGGGCTATTAGTCTTAAAAGGAGGATGGACGTGGCATCTTTCCCCCAAGGGATTGCTTCTTGCCCTCCTTTAGGAAACTGGAACTCCCAAGAACCCAAAACGATGTAAATAACTCAAAATAAGTTTTATTTGTCACAAAGTCATTTCTTCAATGCAATAAACTGGAAAACCCTAGAGGGGTGAAGGAAAACACACTTTACAGTCTCTATTAGTCCTGGGTCCAAGGGGTTTGAAGCTGAGAAGCCTCACCAGGTTTCCTCTTCCTCAATGGTTGTGAGTGCCGGAGCAAAACCACAACCCCAATTCAAATGGCCTATCTTGAAGATTCAGGATCTTCCTCTGGTGCCAAAAGAACTGGCTTGAAGGCGCCTGGGTCTCCTCAGTATCGTCCAGGATGATCTGGACATAAAGCATGAGTCCCAGGGGAAAAAACCTCAGAATTGATGCTAAGAGGTGACTTAAAACAGGGTCCTTTAAGAATGAAGTCTCTTACTCACGTCCATGTTGCAGGAACTCTCATGGCAGAATGAAAAGAAAAGGAAGTTCTCCCCTCTTGCAGGAAGAGGTGGAGCCAAACAGTGCTGATTGACAGCTACAAGTAACAAATCCATACAAATATACAGAAACATGGAAAAGGGGCAGGATTAAGCATGATACAACAGTTTAAATCTTACAACTAACAGTTCTATACATAGGTGGCGCCACTCGCGCCGTCACACAGTGAGTTTCCATATCTGAACAGGAATTTGAATCCTGGTATCTATCCAGAGTCTTTGTCTAACACCAAAACCACTAGGGCTCTCATCATACCATTTGTATGTATAGTGTATTATAAAAATATTAAACATTGGAGGCTTTACTGCTATTTAATTAATTAATGTTTGTAAAATGATATAGATTGAACTTGGTTATTTTATAACTAATAATTATTTGATTTTTCAGGTGCACCATTTAAAAAGGAACCAACTGATACTTTTGGTATGTTGGATTATTTCATATACAAATTTTATAATGTATGCAACCTGTACTGAAAACTTACAATAGCAATATATTCATGTAATTTCTTATTTTCTTTTGCAGACTATCTTTACAAAACCATTGAAGATGGCTGGATTGCTTATGAAAGCAATGAGTATTATTTCAGTAATATCACTTTGCCTGCAGAAAAGGCCCAAGAATTCTGCAAGAAGCATGGTGGTCGTCTCACAGTCATTGAGAATGATGATGAAAGAAGGTTTCTGTGGAAATATGTAAGAAATACATATTATAGTAATAGCTATATAATATTAAAACATGATGATGATGATGATGATGATGATGATGATAGGTTTCCTGCTATATTTATTTTCTTTTCTTTTGTACATTTTAGAATGCCTTCCATGGAAAGGAACATGATTCTTATATTGGCTTAATTGTGGGTCTAGATGGAAAATTTGTGTAAGTGAACAATATTTAGATTTAACTCAATTTCTCTTTAATTTTTTAAAATGAAAAGATCTTTATATAAAACTGTAACACAAAGCTGTTAAGAAATAGAACAGGATTCACTAGTGGTTCTATCCTAGGGATGGGCAAACTTTTTTGCCTTAGGGTCATATTTTGGGCCAGGTCGGGAGGGCTGGGCTGAGAAAGATGGGGGATGTTTGCATGCTGAACCCTGCCTCAGACTAGGTTACTTCATGTATTACTATGTCGAAAATACTTCAAAATTCACAGTAGTAAAAGTACAATTCTCATATTATAATTCAACTAAGGCTATACTATTCACAAAATAAGTAACAGACATAAAGAAAAGCATATAGAAACAACCAGTCCTAATAAGTCCTGAAGCTGCAAAAGGTCTTGAGTCCAATACCAGTGGTAGTAAAAAAAATCCAGCTTCCAAATAACGACTTCTATATTAAAGTAGATTCTTCATTAACTCGTAACACCATACATTGTTGTTTCGTTGGTTGCAAAGGACTACACAACCTTGGGCTGTCTTCTTGGCATTATGCCAGAACGTGGGCAAGACAGTTGGTGGCTAGGAGTGTTCTGGAGGGCTCTAAGGTGCCACGTGCCTTCCTCGAGCTACCCTCCTGGCATAAGATTGAGGTTGCTCACACCATTGTTATTCTGGGAGGAGGTGAGACATGCAGTGGCTGAGAGTGTTCCAGAGGACTCTCAGCTGCTGTGTGCCTTCCTTCCTTGTCTTTTTGGCATAAGGACGCAGCGAACTGATGTGTCCTTACGGCAAGAGGACAGGGAAAATAAGGAGGGCCTGAGGTAAGCACCCAGGAGGCTGCATCTGGCCCCTGGGCTTTAGTTTGCCCTTTCCTGCACTATCCTCATTGAAAATCTTCTGAATTATGCTCTTAAGGCCCCTCCAAGTTTATTTCCAGGAAAATGCACCTAGAAATAAAGTGGAGGGTAATATAGTTGGAACGGGAACATGCTGTGTTCCCAGTTTTTTTCCTTTCTCTACCAATTTTCTTTCCACAATTGGCTGCCAGTCTGTGGTGAGTTTTCAAGAAAAAAAATTAATATCTAGAAATTATTTGACTAAAATAACATACTGTAATCTAGCAAATGAGAGAAAATGCTAGTCCCTCCACAACAGATTGCATGGGAAGAATTGTATAAATGAGCGAAGGACAACTGGGTAGTCACCAGAGCAGGTCCAAGGTGGTCTTGCTTAATTTCTTTCATCTCCTAGTATGTTTCTTAATGTGCTATAACATGTAACACAATAGCAATGAAATTAACAAGTGGTCATAACTCTGGATAAGCCACAAAGGAGCTGTTAAATAATATCATATAGGAAAAATACTAATCCTACCTAAATAATACCCTACATACATCAAGTAGGACATTTCATTATTCTCAGTTTATTTAATTTATGAGTGGCACATGTGAATTTAAGAGCTAAATCTTCAAATCCAAAAACTAAACTTTTCTTGGATAAAAGAGCAAGTACAAAGAAACATCAAATACATACTGTAGATACAATAGACTAAAGTTGTTCTATCTAATAGTGTTGTGTAATTTTCTTTAGCTGGTTGGATGGCTCTCTAGTAACATATACAGCCTGGGCCCCTGATGAGCCCAACTTCATAAATGATGATGAAAATTGTGTGGTTTTGTATTCAAGCACAGGTAAGTACACCATTGTAATCCCTTTGATATGTGTGCTTGTGGAAATGGGGCAAGGGATGAATAAACACTCGAGTATAAAAATCTATTGCCAGGAGTTATTTAGAGTAACAATAAGAGCAGCTCACACAGTGATTGCTAGAGGTTGGAGAGACAAATAAAATTGGACATTAAGTAACTGGAATTATTATATGACCAATCAAGTGTTGTTATACGTTACTGGAATAATGACTAAGCATGTAACAAGAACAAACAAACAGAAGGACATTACAAATAGATAGAAGGTCTACTTCAACTGGGTGAAAAATGGAGAAGCCAATGATCACAACAAAGAGATAATACAAAGACCAGCGGCTGGAGCGGCTAGATTAGTAGAAATATACTGTGGTTAAGGAACTTCAGTTAAGAACTTCATCTTTGCATCTAATATCCTTCCCTCCACTGAGCAGCAAGGCATTATTTCCTGGATTATGGACTGGTTTGGTTTTCTACTCTGAGCAAGATAGCTTTCCAAGATAGCTTGGCATCCTTTTTTCCTCTACAGTTATAAGTGATGCTAGTCCAGCTGTATTGGTATATTGTATCAACATGGTTCCAGCCTGCCTGTACAACAGTGTAAGCAAGAGAGAGCTTACAAAGGACTACATAATCTTACACATTAAAGACTAAAAGTAGTTTGCCACATATAGATCTAATCATTTATTATTTTTATAGGACATCTCTCTTCTAGCATGCATCTTGTGGCAATGTTTAACAGGTGCCATTGGCATTTTCCTTACAACTACTGATCTGACCCAATTCTACTTCATTTTAACCTGCAATTATTGACACACATAGTGGTTTGAGTAGTGGACCACAATTCTGCTGATCAGGGTTCAATTCCTTGCTTGGCCATGGCAAGTTACAAACTCACAGCCCTAGTAAATCCTTTAATAGGATTGCCTTGTGTGCCTTGAAGGTGCACAAGACCAACAACGTTGTGGAAAATAAGCATGATTATATGCCTGTATAGTTTTGTTGATGCTGCTGCTGCTATTATTATTATTATTATTATTATTATTATTATTATTATTATTATTATTATTTCATCTAGGACATAAACTTGAAATACTTTGGCTCTATTTTGTGTGAAAGAAGAGAGGTTTAAACTTACCAGCTAATAAAATATGTCTTTATTTAGGTTTATGGAATGATATAAACTGTGGTTCTAAGAATGGCTTCATCTGTGAGAGACACAACCGTTCTGTTGTTTTGCCTGTTGCTCCCACATCACCTGAACCTCTTGGAGGCTGTGCGGAAGGCTGGCTTTTGTTTAATAACAAGGTAATACAGTCACACAAAATAGTCTAGTAACTCACTCTTTTCAAATATTCCACCATGTGCAGTGACTTTTAATATAAATTAATACAGTGTTAATATTTATTTAATAAATATTCGTCTGTTATGCTATTATTCTTTCGTGATGGATGGTGCCAATATTGATTTGACTCTTGACATAATTTGCCATAATTTTGAAGGTTGTTTTTCTTTTCCAGTGCTTCCAAATATTTGGTTTTCATGAAGAAGAGAGGAAAAACTGGACTGCTGCACGTGCTGACTGCAAATCCCGAGAAGGAAATCTGGCCACCATACCAAGCAAAGCTGTTCAAGGTGTGTCTGGATTATTAAAATAGATTGTTCATTTGGGCTTGAACATTTTTAAAATCCAGGACTGCCTATTCAAGTTAATTTCATAGCATAGGAGAAGTCATAATGAGGCTTCTTCCTTCGCTGCTTGGGTTATGTGGCACACACAGAGGGAGCTGGCAATTGGGGCAGTGTTGCGCTACTATAAATATATACTAAAGGCAGTAATATAGTAGAACTGCAATGATATGCAATAATAGCAGTATTTAATTTTTTAAAAAGAGTCCAATCATGACATAGGAAGTAGAGCAAACAAGGTGTTGAGAATAGCGCTGAAGAACCAATAGTGCAAAAGAAGAAAACAGTGGAACTTGCACTATTAAAGTGCAAATGTGCTGAAAATGCCAGCCTTCAGCCAACTTTGCAAATCGAACAGCCTGAAACAACTGACTAGTGGGATAAGCACTTGAGACATGTAGTCTTAAGTAGAAGATCCCATCTTTTTTTCTCTGCCAGATGTACACTTTACCCCAATTGATTCTGTTTTCACTGCCTTTGGAGAATTATCTTAAGCAATGGGCCCCTTGTGGCACAGTGGATTAAACTGCTGAGCTGCAGAACTTGCTAACTGAAAGGTCAGTGGTTCAAATCCAGGGAACAGGGTGAGCTCCCGCTGTTAGGCCCAGCTTCTGCCAACCTAGCAATTTGAAAACATGCAAATGTGAGTAGATCAATAGGTACCGCTATGGTGGGAAAGTAACTGTGCTCCATGCAGTCATGCCAACCACATGACTTTGGAGGCGTCTACGGACAACGCCGGCTCTTTGGCTTAGAAATGGAGATGAGCACAACCCCCCAGAGTCAGACACAATTAGACTTAATGTCAAGAGGAAACATTTACCTTTATCTTAATCAATACATGCTTCTTCTTCTCCTGGGATCAAGCAGTGCACGGGCATAAGTGGCTCCTCAGCAAAATAGCTCAAGTGATTTTTTAAAAATATTGTTATTGTTCCATTCTTGTAAGGTAAGAATGGTGGGAGCTGCAGTTATGGAGGATCAGTTGAGTTGAAGATTTCCTGCATTACAGAATGAATATCCCTTTTCTGAAATGCTTGAGACCAGAACTGCTCTGTATTTTAGACTTTTTATTTTGGAATACTTGTTTATATAGATATCTTTCAAATGGGATCTGAGTCTAAACATAAATTTATGTTTCATATATCTCTTATATCCATGGCCTGAAGGTAATTTTATACATACTATTTTTCACAATTTTGTCTATGAAAAACATTTGTGTACATTAAACCATCAGAAAGCAAAGGTGTTACTATCTCAGCCACCGATGAGGACAGTTTAGGAGTATTTGGGAGTTTGGAAATCTGGATAAGAGATGCTCAACCTGCCCCCCCTTTAAGATGAGAAACATGTAATTGCCACAATGTTATAATAAAATGTTTCTTCTTTTTCACTCAGCTTTCCTCACAGTGCACATAAGAGGCATTCCAAGCGGCCCCTGGATTGGACTGAATGCCATTGCTTCATGGCGAGAATTTTTATGGACAGATGGAAGTGGTGTCTACTATACAAATTGGGCCAAAAGATTTCCAAACTATTTTGTAAGTCATTTTTGCACCCTTGGAGGCAGGATTTATTTGTTGATTTATTAACTTCATTTACATCCTGCCCAAACCATTACAGGCTTTATAAGTGATTACCACACTTTGAATTGGGACCGGAAACTTATCAGTAGCCAGTGGAGCTGTTTTAATAGCGGTGTCATCCACTTCCTATAATTAGCTCCAGTTAGAGTGTGTTGCAGTAATCCAATCTGGATGTAACTAAGGTGTGGACCACCGTGGCCAAATCAGCCCTCTCGAGGTACAGTCGCAGCTGGCACACAAGTTTTAACTGCAAAGGCCCTCCCTGCTACCGCTGACACTTGAGAATCAAGCGTCAGCATTGAGTTCAGAAGGACCCCCGGACTGCAGACCTGCATTCTCATGGCTAGTGTAACCCCATTGGGCACAGATTGCCACTCTATACACCGATGGGTCTCACAATTGACCAGGAGGACCTCTGTCTTGTCTGGATTTGTTAGCCCTCATGTAGTCCATCACTGGACTTCTTTCCTTCCCTTTCCTTCCCCTCCCCTTTCTCTGTTCTCCAGCTCTGAGAGGGTCTACCTCACAATGTCTCCATGGCAAAATGACTCTCTTCGTGGCTCTTTCCATCCTCCCTTACTTCCCCTCATCCACATGCCACCATTCTTCCCCAATCACAAAGGGCCACTGGATTGTTACTTCCTCATCACACTAGAGCATGGATCCACTATAAAAATTGACCTGTAGTCAACTTCAGTTGGAAGTAGGCCTATGCATTAAGCACAGACTTTAAAGTAGATCTTTAGTGTAAATATAGACTTTAGGAAAATTATGTCCTGTTGATCTTTGCCAGTGGAATAAAAACAAATGCAGGGATAGGGAAAATGCCCTATCTGTATATTATTATATTGCACTCTTCATTAGTTATGGTCATCATAGGTAGTGATGATCTTTGCAGAGGATGTGAGTCCCAGCAAGTCTAAATCCCGGCAGATCTGTTTACAACAATGGAACGATGAAAAGTTCTTCCGTATCCAGATCGCTGTCATCCCTCCTACTATAGAAAGCCAGGTCAAAAGTGTGTTCTGCATTGTGGGTGGTTCCAAATATTATTTGGGACAGATCCATGATCATTATGGACAGCGTGAAGTCCTGAACTGTTCCTGATTGAGTGATCTTCGTATGAATGTTGACGTTTCCCAGCAAAACAAACAAGGGACACTCAAAAACCACCACTGAGATCAACTCAATAGCTCAGGAAATAAGACTTTTGAACAGTGGCATGGTGGTACACCAAGGCAATCCTAATTTCAGATACAGACACTCAAATCTAGTAGACTTTGGGATTGGAGACCCAGTGAGGGATATGGAATTACAAAGGACCACTGCACTTCCACTTTTCTTACCATGGTAGAGATTAATACGAGGGATATTTTTTAAGTAAGGTCCGTTTGAACATAAGTACACAACGAAAGTTTATTACAAAAAAGTAAATTTATTTTCAGAAAGTACATACTTCATTCTATTTTTTGATATAGTTGACAAGTTTGTTCAAACACTTATCATACCTATGAACCAATTAAAATACCCTCTTCATAAAAACTTGCTTCCTGCTCCAATAACCAAGAGTTCACTCAAATCTTTGGTTTTTGTGGTCCTCTGTTAGGAGTTTCGGGACCCAACGGGAGCACAGTTTCCTAAACTTTAGGTGTTCAGAAACAATGTTGTAAAGCACTGATCTCGACACGTCAGGAAATTCGTTTGAGAGACCTGTTATTGTGAAGCGCCTGTTCTCACGAATCCTCGCTTCAACTGAAGCCACCAAATCGTCTGTAATCAAAGAAGGGCGACCGGAGCGGTCCTCATCATGGACGTTGTCACGGCCATCTTTGAATTGTCGTACCCACTTACGCACTTTGCTTTCACTCATAACAGTATCACTGTACACTTCACAAATCTGTCAATGAATTTCTGCAGCAGGCAGGTTCCTTGCTGACAAAAACCGTATCACTGAGCGAACCTCACATGCGGAGGGTGAGTTGATAGTCTTAAACATTTTTAAAGCACAGAACAGAACCGTACAGGTTAGCTACAGAGCGGAAACTGAGCACAGTTGTTCCCGAGGCATGCTGGTACACGACGCACGTGCTCATTGTGGTATGCGCGCGAACTACTAGTGTCTACAACAAAACGGACCTTACTTTAAAAATACCCCTTGTATACCACCTTATCATACCTGCTTCATCTGACTTCTGGCAAGGAAAGAGGGAGCAGCGGAGTGAGTCTGTCACTCCACTCATAGCTCCCTCTTGTGACACTTTCCCCATCACATGGGAAGTGTCACCCTCATTGGAAGGCCCTCCCTTGTTGCCAGGGTAAGCATGTGGTGATTATTTTACCCTGGTTGGGGGTGAAGCCAGAGGCGATGTTGCCTGATGGCTGCCATAACAGTCATGATGCATGATATGAGGCCTTCCATGAAACATATGGTAAACATGGCTCTTGTTCATTCCCTAGGGTGCGTGTGTTTATATGACGGAGGCAGGAATTTGGAAAAATCAAAGGTGTAGCACTAAGAAAAGCTATATCTGTCAAAGAAAGACTGGTAAGTTTTTGAATACATTTAAGCTCAATGGAAAACTTTACACTTTTTAAACAAATGTTTATTTGAAAGAACCTAACTTCTATGGGTTAGCACCATTACTCCTGGACATCCAAGTATTAATTGAAGCCATTTTGCATGCAAAACAGGTTTTTTTTGTTAGGTAGGAACTGTAACATTTAGGAAGCCAATGGAGGAACATTCTCTTGAAAGAATGATATTTTCAATTAAACATTTGATAGATATTATGTTGCTAGATATTATGTTGATCCCTTTTAGGGCTATAAATTAATTAATCTACATAGCATGGTCCAAGTTTTTCTTTACTTAGAACTTTACTATTTCTTTTCTATATGTCCAAATTGAAGTTATTAATTATTTCTATTTTAGACTTCCAGTAATTGGCAATGTTACATAGTATTCAGAATTTCACTGTCAAGTGATATTGATTTTTATTGCTAAGACTGTGTACAGTCTAAAGTTTCAATACAAGAGTTATATATTCCTGCCTTTTCTATTTATTCTTTTGCTACAGATGCTATATTATCTTACCATGGGACAACAATTTCAGCCTCTGGATATACTCGTTATGGAAATAGCAGCTATTCTCTTGTTAGTCCCAAAATGTCATGGGAAGAAGCAAGAAAAAGGTGTAAATCTGAAAACGCAGAACTTGCCAGCATAGTTGATCCTTATGTCCAGTCATTCATATGGCTACTTATACTTAAATACAATGAGCCTGCCTGGATTGGTCTAAACAGCAATCTGGTAAGAACAAAAGGTTTTCCACAACAAAAATTGTTCTTTGATAAGATTAGTTAGAAATTGCCAGAAAAGGGCCTTTATTATTCAGCTTTATTTACAGCTTTGCACACAATCGGTGAGCAATATATGGTTATACTTATATCTCTTTTGGCAATTATACTATTTTTAGGAACCTTAATAAAAGTTTGAAAGTGCATCTAAAGCAGGGGGGACTGGGATAGCTAAATAATGCACCAGGCTAAGCCACTTCAACCTCAAATAAATTTGATTTGACAGGTTTAATCCAAGTTTTTAAAATAACCCCAAACACCTGGGGGTCACCCAGACAAGCACCAAAATGCAGAGCCTGTCAGGCTTTTGCTGGAGCCTGATGGGCCCGCATTTATCAGAGGTGTTGAAATGTAAAAGCGAATTAATTCGGAATAACCATGGTTATTCTGAATTAATTAAATAATTGGTTAGATCCGTGGCTTCCTGAAAGTCCTGGGTCTAATGGGATATTGGGTCTGTGGGAACTGCCTATTGAGTACTCCTGAGACTACCTGGGGGTCAGTTCCCACAGCCATCCCACATTTTTGGACTCTTGGAACCAAAAGGTGCGAGATGGTACCCACCTTCTCACCTGGCACCCCACCCCCAAAAGCCCGTAAAATTAAAAAACTTATTGGGCCACCATTAAGCTGTTCCAGCAGTCCTCCTATTGCATAGAAATGTTAAGCCACCGGGAAAGTCCATTTTTTAAGGTGGCATGGAGACTTAAACCCACTGCGGTGTGGGTTTAAGCCCTGTTTGGAAGTCTCCCTGGCCTTTCCCTGAAAGCCCAGATCTTTGGAGGTATGAGGCCTATGTGGACAGACACCTGCAATCACCATCTGAGATCCCATCTGTCTCTGTCCACAGCCATCCCACTTCCTGAAGCTCAGGCAGTCTGGGGGTAGGTGGGAGGCCACTTCCAGCCTCCCCTCTCTGCCCTCCCTTTTGCCTTGTACTTACCAGCACGAACCTTTGGATGGAGGCTTGGACACTTCCCTCCTGGTGCCCAGAAACAACATCAGAGGGCTTTGGAGGGGAAATTGTCTCTGATTGCTCAAGAAAGGCTTTGATCTTGTTGCTATTCCAGGGCTCACGAGTGAGACTGGTGACATGGATTAGAGGGAAACTATCCCTGTTCTGTCGCCACTGGGTCCAAACAAAATGTCTTTATTCTATAGAACGCACACTTTAAACCCAGTGGGAAGCCGGGGTGCCCGAAGAGAGATTGTTAGAGACTTCCAGAAGTAATGGGCTTTAGAGTTCTTTAAAGGTACAAAAAAGTCTTTATTAAGGAACAAATCTTCAAACAACACTTCAAGGCTTTCTTATACTAGTCTTTAAGAGACTGGCACTGACTTAGTTTAACTATACTACCTCAACTCCAAAAATTAATGCTACTATTCGGCCCAAAACTAATTATAACAATTTGACATCCCCAAAATCTACTCCTGACAAAATACAACTGAGGTGCCAGGATGGTGGCCCCTCCAGGCTAAAGGTGGTGCTGTTCAATGCCAGGTCGGTAAATGGAAAAACTTCTATCATTCAAGATCTAATCGAAGAAGAACGAGCTGACCTGGCTTGTATAATGGAGACCTGGCTGGATGAGGGGGGAGGGGTTAATCTCTCCCAACTCTGTCCACCAGGTTATTCCGTTCAGCACCAACAGGCTTGGAGGGCGGGGAGGCGGAGTCGCAGTGGTCTATAAGGATTATATCCCACTGATCAGGTGTCCCATTCCACAATCATCTTCATTTGAATGTGCCGGCTTCAGGATAGGTGACCGGGACAGGATAGGGATTCTGTTAGTGTACCGACCACCCCGCTGCACTACAGTCTCCCTACCTGAGCTAGCGGGAGTGGTCTCGGACATGGCGTTGAGCTTCCAACGGCTTCTGGTCTTGGGAGATTTCAACGTCCATGCCGAGGCCCCTCTTTCTGGTGCGGCTCAGGACTTCATGGCCGCCATGGCAACCATGGGCCTGTCCCAACTAATATCTGGTCCCACCCATAGTGCCGGGCACACTTTAGATTTGGTTTTTGTCCAGGGATGGGATGAGGGTGACGGGATGGAGGAGCCGACCATCGCCCCATTGCCATGGACCGATCACCACCTGATCAGTTTTAGACTAACTGGGCCTCCTAACCTCCACAGGGGTGGTGGACCCATTAGAATGGTCCGCCCCAGGAGACTTATGGATCCAAATGGACTCCTGACGGCTCTTGGGGATCTTTCCACCTCCTTGGCTAGTGATACTGTCGATGCTTTGGTCTCTCGTTGGAATAATGAGTTGACCAGGGCAATTGACACTATCGCTCCGGAACGCCCCCTCTCGAGTAACCGAGCTAAACCAGCCTCTTGGTTTACCGAGGAGCTGGCAGCGATGAAGCGAAAGAAGAGGAGGTTAGAGTGCGTGTGGCGCCAGAATCCCACCAATCCAGCCCAAACACACCTGAATGCCTTTTTAAGGTCCTACGGTGTGGCAATAGTGGCAGCTCAGAAAACATTCATCACAGCCAATATTGCATCAGCGAAGAATCGTCCAGCGGAGCTTTTCCGAGTTGTCAGGGGCCTGTTAAATCCGCCAAAAAGCGAGGCCTCGGACAACTCGGTGGCTCGCTGTGAAGCATTTGCTCGATCCTTCGCAGATAAAATTGAGCGGATTCGGTCGGGTTTTGACGTCATGTTAACGGCAGTCTCTGGGGATGTAACGAGAGCATCTGCTTGTCCAGTTTTGTTGGATTCGTTTCAATTGGTTCAGCTTGAGGATGTGGACAGGATCCTTGGAGAGGTGCGACCCACCACATGCATCCTAGACCCCTGCCCTTCCTGGCTGATCAAGGAAGCCAGAGGGGGTTTGGCAGAGTGGGTGAAGGTGATGGTTAATGCCTCCTTACAGGAAGGAAAATTTCCAGCGAGCTTAAAACAAGCTATTATAAAACCGCTGTTGAAGAAACCATCACTGGATCCCACTCAATTCGACAACTATCGGCCTGTTTCCAATCTCCCCTATTTGGGCAAGGTCATGGAACGTGTGGTGGCAACACAACTCCAGGGGTTTCTGGTAGACACTGATTATCTAGACCCGGCACAGTCTGGCTTTAGGCCGGGACATGGAACTGAGACAGCCTTGGTCGCCTTGGTAGATGATCTACGCAGGGAGCTAGACAGGGGGAGTGTGTCCCTGTTAGTTCTGCTGGACCTCTCAGCGGCCTTCGATACCGTCGATCACGGTATCCTTCTGGGCTGCCTCATGGATATGGGGCTCGGAGGCACTGCTTTGCGGTGGCTTCGATCCTTCCTTGAGGGACGGACCCAGAAGGTGTTATTGGGTGACACCTGTTCGGCCCCACAACCGTTGTTGTGTGGAGTCCCACAGGGTTCAATCTTGTCCCCGATGTTATTTAACATCTACATGAAGCCGCTGGGAGAGGTCATCCGGGTATCAGAAACTAGATGTTATCTCTACGCAGATGACGTCCAACTCTGTCACTCCTTCTCACCTGTCACCAAGGAGGCTGTCCAGACCTTGAACCGGTGCTTAGCCGCTGTATCGGACTGGATGAGAGCTAACAAATTGAAATTGAATCCAGACAAGACAGAGGTACTACTGGTCAGTCGTAAGGCCGAACAGGGTATAGGGTTACAGCCTGTGTTAGACGGGGTTACACTCCCCCTGAAGACGCAGGTTCGCAGCTTGGGAGTGATCCTGGAATCATCGCTGAGCCTGGAACCCCAGGTCTCAGCGGTGGCCGGGAGAGCTTTCGCACAATTAAAACTTGTGCGCCAGCTGCGCCCGTACCTTGGGAAGTCGGATCTGGCCACGGTGGTCCACGCTCTTGTCACATCCCGGCTGGATTACTGCAACGCACTCTACGTGGGGTTGCCTTTGAAGACTGCTCGGAAACTCCAACTAGTCCAGCGGGAAGCAGCCAGATTGCTCACCGGAGCGGCGTACAGGGAGCATACCACCCCCCTGTTGCGTCAGCTCCACTGGCTGCCGATCCAATTCCGAGCACAATTCAAAGTGCTGGTTTTGACCTACAAAACCCTATACGGTTCCGGCCCAGTGTATCTGTCCGAACGGATCTCCCTCTACACCTCGAAGTTTAAGATCTTCTGGGGAGGCCCTGCTCTCGACCCCGCCAGTGGCACAAGTGAGGCTGGCGGGGACGAGGAGCAGGGCCTTCTCAGTGGTGGCCCCTCACCTGTGGAACTCACTCCCCGGGGAGATCAGATCGACGACTTCCCTTCTAGCGTTTAGGAAAAAACTAAAGACCTGGATGTGGGACCAAGCTTTTGGCCATGCTGACAACTAACTAAAGGACCTGTCGATAGACAAGGACAATGGAATGGAATGGATATATGGACTCTGATATATGGACTCTGACATGAGATAGTTTTTATGATTTTATTAGGTATTGATGTTTTATTTTAATTGTTGAATTGTTATATTTTGTATTGTTTGTTGTGTGTTTTGGGCATCTAATTGTGCCTTTCCTGTAAGCCGCCCTGAGTCCCCCTCGGGGTGAGAAGGGCGGGGTATAAGTAGATGAAATAAATAAATAAATAAATAAATAAATAAATAAATAAATAAAATAAGGAAGAACTCTTTATAATCCCTCCCAAGCCGTCCATCACCTAGGCCTCGCTGGTCTGGGTAAAACTGCCGATCCCCAAATGCGTCTGGAAACCGAGTAACCTACCAGACGAAGCTAGAAGATGTTTAGCTGGAATTCTGTGGTTCTGCAGTGATGTCCTGTGGAAACTTCAGGGCTGTTTTCCCCTCTGGTGCTGTGAGGCTGAGAGGCTGTGAGCTCTCAGCCAGAGCCTTTGGGACCTTTTCTTTCTGTTTCCCTGGAACTGGATGGTCACTGGATGACCCCTGGATGGTCACTGGATGGACCCCGGATCACCTCTGGATGATCTCCGGATGGCTTTGAGGAATGAAGCTTTTCCTACAGGACAAGCTGATCTGCGTCCTATAGACTGGCTTCCTTGTGCGTGACTGACCAAAATGGTTCCTCTATCCAAAAAACCCAGAGAGGGGTGGGACCAGGGATCCTAACTATAATAGACAGGTGGCTTGCCCTATGATTGCAAACTATAACAGGAAGCTACCCTGCTGCAAAATCCCAAGCCTGGGATTGCAAACAAACATTTAGTTCAAAGCAAATACAATTGGAGCTCCTGGAACAGCTGTTCCAGAACACTCCCAGTGATTCTTTTGAAGAGTGTCTGGGGAGTTTGATTGGGGAGGGTTTTTAACATGGTACATTGGTATCAGAGTCTTGGGGAAAGCAATGCAATTACATTAAAATAAAGCACATGAATAACCCATCTGTGTAACCCATTTCCAGTAAAATTGGCCTCCTGCCAGCCTGTAAAGTAGTTATAAGAGGAACTCATTTTGCATTAGGGATAGTCCAGTTTTGCTTATAAACAAGGATACAGGGGCGAGTTTCCCATCCACGATGAGTTATAGGGAGGGGATATTGAGAAGGGAGCCGGGATACAAATAGGGAGCCTCACATATGACCCCTTCTTCTAAATATGATCCACATGCCAAAGGTTGCCAATCCATGTTTTAAAGATGGTACATACTTAAGAGTTCATAATTATTTTCAGAAATTATCAACATAGACAAAATATATGTGGAGACACGCCCACTTCTGAATTTATCAAAAAATACACCAGTGATTTAGAATATAATAATAATAATAATAATAATAATAATAATAATAATAATAACTTTATTTATATTTTGCCCTATCTCCCCAAGGGGACTCAGGGCAGATTCCAACAAACAAACAAAAAGGCAAAGATTCAATGCCTCAGTACAACAACAAATACAAACATAATAACCTAAAATATTCCCACATATGAAAATCACTTGTAACATGACACCTATAGATTAAATAAAATGTAGAAAGGACAATGCAATATAACTTCTCATTCCCCCTTCCTCTCATCCCTCAGTCACTTTCATCATTCACAGTTCTAGCCTTCACAATCACCTCACACTTTCCTGGCATACATGGTGAGTACCATGCATACTATCCCTCTTGTCTACCCTACCTTGGATCTTAACAGTTGAAAGAGATAAAAGAAATGTGGGGAGAAAGAATTAAAGGAAAAAAGAAATATTGGTAGATACTCTTGAGGAAAACTAGTACTGATGCTTTGTTTCTCCATTTGCTAAACCAATCTAAGCAAAGGTCAACTTCTGTGTGCATTTTACTTGTAGACCAATGAGAAATACAAGTGGGTCAGTAACCGAAGACTGGCGTATACCAACTGGGCTGCTGAAGAGCCAAAAGAAAACATTGCCTGTGTCTATTTAGACCTTGATGGTCACTGGAAAACAGGAACTTGTGCTGAAAAATACTTCTCTGTTTGTGAGCAGTATCATGGTAAGAAAAGCAACATAGTTTTTACCCATCCATTTGAAAGAATCAGGATGTAGACGTAAGGCAAGATGGAGTCATATTTTATTAATTATCCACAGGGATCTTCAGGAGACATTAAGCAGCATGAATTTACACTTAGACTGGATGTATACTGCCATATAATGCAGCTTTGAACTGCATTATATGGTCAGGGTAGACCCATAAAATTCTGTTTAACTGCATTGAACTGCATTATATGGTATTGTAAACCCAGCTTTAGTCTTAGGACCCTTCCACACAGCCATATAATCCAGAATATCAAGGCAGATAATCCACATTATCTGCTTTGATCTGGATTATATGAGTCTACATTCAATCAAGATAATCTAGATTTATTTGGCAATATAAAAGGGGCCTCAGACCAACCCCCAGAGTTGATTCCCTCATAACTTGAAGGGCATATCACAGCAACCCCTTTACCTCATGAGTTCACCATTTTTATCCATTTTTATTTTACACTATGTGCATCCATCAATCTGCCATGAACAAGGGATAAATCTCTCCCCCTCACTCGCCACCACCAAATGATACATAATGTACCTCTGCAAAATCCCACGAACCAGTTTAGCACTGCAGACTCCATTTTACAAAAACATTGAGTTTCTCAAACATAGAACAATAAACTCAACATCATAACAATGCTCTGGCTATATAAAATGCTCAGTTGAATGAGAAAGTTGCCACTGCTAAATCCAGTAGTTGTAGTCATCTCCCCCCGCCCCCTCCACTAGTATTTTACATTGTATTTGCTTGACTTCATTTTTCTGGTTAAATAGTTTTACGATCTCTTATTTAGTAATATCATTGTTGTTATTTTTATGATGTTACATAAATTGCTCTGGAATTTTGTGTCATTCATGTTACAAAGGAAGAAAGGAAGACATGAGTTCATCTAAGTCAGTGGTTCTCAACCTGTGGTCCATGGACCACCAGTGGTCTGCAAGAACTAAAATATGGTATGCGGTCTCACTGTTACTACACCATTGCAACTAGAGCAACTGGTCTCGCAAAACCCTCTTATCATGCTGAAGCTGATTAAATATGGCTTTCTGTGGGTGAGCAGATTTTCTATCCAATGGAATTTTCTGAATGAGTATCCCAAATAACCAAATTGAATCTAAAGTTGACCAAAAAATGATTCGTAACCCTTTCAATACTAATGTTGAACAGTGGTTCCTGGTCAAAGTGGTCCTTGGTCAAAGTGGTCCCTGGTCAAGTGGTCCCTTGTCAAGTGATCCCTGGCCAAAAAAAGGTTGGGAACCAATGATCTAAGTGTAAATCTCCATAAGCTCAAAGTACTGACTTGATTTCAGCACTTGACTTCCTATTTTTCAGTTCTAACTGAGCTGAATGAGCTTGAGTCTCAAACATAGTGTCTAGCAAAATGAGACTCAAGAATAGTATCTAGTCAGATCAATAGAGACTCTATGTTACAAAAATAAATGCACACTTACAGCACTAAATTCAACCAAGAGCTAATGGAACTAGGTAAGTGTGCTATTAAAAATTATACATATTTAGTTCTGGGTAGAGACTTAGACTCACTACTGAATTTGACCTTATCTATACTATTACAGGAAGGAAGGTATTATTTTAAAAATATTTGTTTCATTGCAGGTATATTCCCAACAGATCCTCCTGAGGCCCCAGGAAGATGCCCTGGATCAAAAGACCACCACAGACCTTGGATTCCTTTTCGGGCTCATTGCTATGCCTTCTACTCCATCTTCGAATCCTGGCCTGATGCATCTGTGAGATGTTCTCATTTAGGTGGGTCATTTTAATAACAGTACTGTTTTCTTCCTTGGGAATTCTTAGCTAATTTGCAAACCAGTGCTACACTTTTTGTTTAAAGAAAATATTTTAAAAATGTATGTTCCTGTAGCCACTTTTTCCCCCATCCTACATCTCCACCATTTCTTGTTCTGCTATTTCTTCTTCCCCTTCAATAGGATGTATATTCTCTATTTCATTCAGAAGAGTGTTATCACATATCCGCTGTAAGAATTACTTGGTTTGAAATCCCCTACTTTAAAGGCTGCACAGTGAACACAGCATTGGGAGCACATTGGCCTTTTGAATATTATTCTCTCTTTTCATATTATATTTTTATTTATTCGATTTTCTGTCTGCCAGGGACTTCATAATGATGTGCAATAAAAATGTTTTTTTAAAAAACTTAAGAACAGATGGAGTAACACAGTTTTGATCACATGTCAGAAGCTCAATTAGAATGGAGCTAATCTGGCTTCTCTTGAAAGGGAGTGTCATAATGAAGTGCTGCTTCATAGAAAGCCTATCAACCTAATCTCTCAAGGTGGTGTGGTATGCAATATTTCCTTTACTGAAGACCTCAGCTTTCGACAGGCTCACAAGAGAAGCAAACTTTTACATATATTGATCCAAAGATGTGTAAGACTTTGTGACTCAAAAGTACACCCTTGAATTGATCTCTTAAATTATTTGTAAGCCAGTTTAGTTGATTCAGGATGGGTATCTTACAGCCTCTAAATTACATGAGAACAGTATGGCCACCAGCTTTGTACTAGCTTCCAATCAATGTTGAAGAGCAGTTTATTGACATATTTTAGATCCCTGTGGATCTCTGTGACCAAATTCATCTTCCCAGGGAAGGGGCATGGCCAATAAGCCAACTGAAATTGGACCAAGGTAACTGCAGCCATTTGAAGAGCAATGTAGAGAGCAAAACAAAAACAAAAAAACAAAAACTGTGATTCTTCATCAGGAGAGCATCCCCATGCTGCAAATCCACTGAATAATTAGTGATCCCAGTCCCATCCTGGCTTTCCTGATAGTGAGATTTCTGGATTGTCTGAATTGGCCTTCAACTTGTTCAATCACATCTAATGTCTCAGTATCTTTGTGTCAATGTTTCCATCATCTTCTTAACTTGAGAAAAAAATAGAGTAATATAACTGGGACTGATCACCATATTGATGAAATCTACCACCAATATTTTTTATAATCTTTCCCAGGGTTTTCATGTAAATGTTGTAAATCATAGTGGAAAATGCTGAAGAACATCATAAAATATCACTAGGATTGTTTTAGAAGATGGGAGTCAGCATGTTCCAGTGGTTTGGATGGTAGATTAGAACTTTTGTATTTTATAAAGATTAATAAATAATGCATTTCTAATATTTCTTAGGTGGCACTTTGACTTCAATAGAAGATTCAGCTGAACTGGAGTTTTTGCTGGACCATACCAAGCATCTCAGTCAAGCAAACTTTTGGATAGGCTTGTTCAGAAATGTGGATGGTAATTTCACCTTCAATATTTATCTGTACTGCATTATGTCAAAATAATGATGTTATTGTGAAAGACCTTAGAGAGTAATACAGGAAGTGGAAATTGAACTTGTAGGCAATTTGCTTCAGTTTGGTCTTATGAGCCTTCTCACCAAGTGTGCAGAAGAAGGCTCATCCATTTTCCAGAATTTCTGTCTTGCCTCTTACAACCTCATCAGATGGGTAGTTTCCCTGTCTCTGCGCACTGCCGGCATGCTGCCAGGATGGAGTCCACCAGAGCTCATCAAATGATGCAGGGCTACTTCTTGCAGGGCTCTGTGCCAGCAGCTTGCTGGCAGCCTGCAGAGATGGACCCAGGGACAACACAGAAGGACCCATGCTACCCCACAGTTTCCCCCACTGTCCCCTGGCTTCTGGACCCCATGTGATGAGAACCTGAGTATTGCCACATAGGTACTGCTGATGATAGTATATAAAGCAATCTTATTGTGCAGTCTGTTGTAGTTTTGGTTTCACTTTCCACCTATCCACTTAGCACCAATCACAGCAGATGTAAAGGTCTACCCCCACCTCCCTTATTAATTCAAAGACTCACAGAAGGAAAGAGTGATTTTGATATGGATGAAGAACATTACCATATAAAAATATCAGGTTTACTTCCCTTCATTATGTAATTCACCTTTCCCTTTGCATTGATCATCTGTTGCATTTATCATCTATTTATGTGTCCCTATCTCTCCCAACAACATATGTGATTACAACACACACACTTTTCTCCCCTTGGTGAAAAAACTTTACAGACAATAGGCCCATGTGTATTCTTAAAATGTATTTTAAAATCTATTTACAACCACAATGTGATTTTTTTTCTGGTTTTGATCATTTCTTTTTATAATTAGGAGAATGGATATGGGAAGATAACACCAAAGTGGATTTTGTGAACTGGAAAAATGGACCACCTGCAGCTTATAACAAAACTTATGAGTACAATATTGTATTTCAAGATCAGTGCATTTTCATAAATGGACATAATGGCGAATGGCTTGGTGAAAACTGTAACTATCCAAGAAAAGGATTTATTTGTAAAACACCCAAGAGTAAGTCTTTATTGCTGTGATCTGTTGTGAATGTAGCAGTGACTTTAATAAAACTTGAACCAAAATAAGGAACTAGGGCATTCCAGAGGAAGGTTCTTTAAGCTAGCAATTAGAAGTGGGCAGAGTGACAGCGGCCCCATCTACACTGCAATATATGGTATGTGTAGACTCTTATAATGCAGTTCAATGCAGTTAATCTGCGTTATATGAATCTACATGGCCCATATAATACAATTTCAGACTATTATATCACAATGTAGATGAGGCCAATGAATGAAAGCATAATATGGAACAGCTCCTAGAGAATGGCCCTAAATGGCAAAGATGGTCAAGGGCCACTTAAATCAGCATTAAACCAAAAGAAGCCTGCATCCCTAAGGATGCTGGGAATTATTTAAGGCTGTCGTTACAATAGTCAAACTTTGTGCTGGTGTAAATCACCTTCACCATCAACCCTTTTCTACTCTAGTGGCTCAGGCAGCAGATTAGGATTCTTGTAACAGTAGAAGTACCTTATCTTAACCCCTTAAATCTTATGAGGTATTTCTCTAACACCTGGACCCTAGTTTAATCATTATGAAATGCATGCTGTTTCATCACCATATCTTTGCCATAAGAGTTCTGAACAGGTATTGATGTACTGCTACTGCCTGGGTGAGAGGTTTTCTAAATAGGTATTTTATTAATTTCAGAGTAGAATGAAAAGATCTTTAGAACCAGCAATACAAATGTACTGAACAGATGAGTACACCACTCAATATATATGCAGCAGATAGACCTGCAGGTCCTCTCTACACTAAGCTAAACAGTAATCTCTACAATAAGCAAAGGTTGCATAAACTGACCCATTATTGTACTCATATTTCCAAAAATGTGTATCCAAACTTTGATTTTGTGTGCGTTCTCCACCTTGTATTATGTAGCTGTGTAACAGAGAAATTATTGAAGGGTAATGGAACCCACAAAGATGTGGAATTTAAAATATTTTTGTAATCATCCAAAATATCTCAGTTGTCAGCTAATAAAATCTGACAGTGTTTGGCCAGAAAGATTTCAAGCCAAACCTTCATTTAGCCCATAACCAACTGTGCAAAATTCACAAGTGGCTTTTGTGTGCAGAAAACATTATTTTTTGCATTGAAAATAGTATATCAATGCAGAAATATTATTTCCTGCACAGAAAATCTTGTTTTCTTTAGCAAAAAAAACCCCTGATAACTGATCATTTGTTCTTCATAAATTTTACACATGGTTAATTTGCATAGAATATATATTTTCAAAAGAGAATAAAACTAGAATGATGTTTTTTAAAAATCCAAGATTCAGTTCGCTTATAGATTGCAAAGGTTTAGGGAACAGAATCTTGGATTTTAAAAAATGCATTCTAGTATTATTCTCTTTTGAGAATATATATTTTAGAATTTATTCATGGCTGTGCCATTTGCTGCAAGACAAATTTAATTATACTTTATAAGTCTTTTTTTTATTTTACAGTTCTTGAAGAGCCACATGTGACCCCTACAGTTGGTGATGAAGGTAAGACTGTTTCATGACTGTTTCATTCATTTGTATGAGCAGTACTACCAGACCAAAGGTTTTCAAAAGTGAACTCTTGACTCAAATATAGGAAAAAAGTGTGGAAGTAAATCGCAGCAAAGTTATTCAGGAGCTTTTTTACAGAGGGCGCATCCAGACAGCCCCTTTATTGCAGTAACTCCTGCAAAGAAAGGGCTGTCCACATGACTTCCTGGACAATCCTGAATTAATTTGCTACAAACCAGGAAAACCCTGGTTTGTAGCAAATTAATTAGATAGAGGATTTATTCTGCACCTTCTGGAAGGCGCGGGATAAACCCACTATTTCCGGTTTCTGAGCTGCAGTCCAGACACCATTTCCACAGTTTTCCAGACTAAAATCGCCCAGAAAACTGTGGGAATACCCACCCACCCTCCCCCAGAGCCCTCAAACCCCTTTGAAAAGTAAAGAATGCTTACCCGGCCTCCAGTACACTCTTGCAGCAGCTCTCCCAGCACATAGAAATGACATGCCAAGAGAGTGGGGCGGGGGGAGGAGCGATTTTCCTCCCTCCCCCCCTCTCCTGGTGCGTCATTTCTACATGCCAGGGGAGCTGCAGCAGGAGTGTACTGGAGGCTGGGTAAGTTTACATTTCAAAGGGTATTTGGGGTGCATTAGGGGAGAGGGTTAGGGTTTCCAGATATTCTCATGGTCTAGTCCCGCGAGACCATCTGGACACCCACCCCAGAAAGTGCACATCCCCCAGGAACATCCGCATTTTTAAAACGCGAATGTTCCTGGGATAACTGCCTGTCTGGAACCATCCAGGGTCATAGAATCATAGAATTGTTGAGTTGGAAGAGACCTCATGGGCCATCCAGCCCAATCCCCTGCCACGAAGCAGGAAATTGCATTCAAAGCACCCCTGGGAGAGGTTTATAATGTTTGGCATGCAGGAGCTGTTGTTATGTAGTTCATTTCTGGGGGGAAATCCACAATATCTGAACTGGGTTATCTGAGTCCACAGTGCCATATAACCCAGTTCAAAGCAAATAATGTGGGATTTTATACAGCTGTGTGAAAGTAGCCTATATCCACACCTGCCATATAATCCAGTTAAATGTGGATTTTATGCAGCTGTGTGGAAGAGGCCTGAGTTTACACTGCCATATAATCCAGTTCAAAACAGATAATCTGGATTTTGTATGGCCGTGTAGATGGGGCTTTCCTTGCCAGTGTTGTATTTGACCTTTGGGTTGGAAAGAGTTGTGTAATATAAAGGGAATTCAACATTTCCTATAGTACAAGATATTTAAACCTTTGGATATTTTTTTTCATCCACAGAGCACATGCCAAAGCATACCACAAACACAGTGGCCATCATCCTGGTTCTTCTTACTCTTGCTGCTGCAGGAGTCACAGCTTATGTGTTCTACAGGAGAAGAAGGAGGCAACCACAAACCCTGAATGGGTTTGACAACTCCTTGTATAATAAGGACAATGTGGTTATCAATCAGAAAGACCCAGAATCGCTTGTGGATAACAATGAGGAGAGATTGACAAGTTTCAGGGGCAGTCCTAGTTAATACAATAGGATTTATATCTAAGTAAAATGATACTTGCACCATAGTAAACATTTGGAAAATAGTCCGCTTAAGCAGTAACTCTCTGCAGCAGAATGGGCAAGCCTCTGGAGCAACAACGTTGGTAAATTTGATCCATTGCTGTACATGTTTGCATCTCAACACTTGATTTGGGCCTAGATGGGACTCCCATCCAAACAGGAAGAGCATGGATTTGTGTTTGTTGAAGGACATAGAGTCTTTAGAAGGGTTGAAGGACCACTCAGGATGTGGAATGTTCATAGAAAATGTTTGATAGTACAATGTGAGTAGAAGTCTGCTTCAGCTTGCACACTTTATTTTTTGATATTATCAAAGTATCAGAGCTGTATGTTTTCTGTTTCCTTAAATGGTACAAAGGATTATTTCCTCTTTGGGGTTTTTTATTTATCCTTCTCCCACACACACATGCACCCCTCAATATATTCTTCCATTTCATTCTGACACTTTTCTTGTTGCCAAGGACGAAACAGAAAACACTAGTTTTGGTTCCAAAATTTCCATATATTTCTCTCAGGTAGTATCCAAGGACGAAAGCCTTAAAACAACAACTGTATGAGTGAATAATCAGAAGGGGGACAATAAATTAAGAAGAATAAACATTCAAAAAATTAAGGAGAATTAAAATCTGGTTCTGTTTGTGTGATTGCAGGATGAAACCAATTGCATAATTGGCTTTTTTCATCAAATTTAAAAGTGTATACATATTCTTCAATCCACTATCCTACTTTGGTAACTTCTGTATGTTTTAAAGCATGGGAATGACACCTTACGGAAACATTTTGGGACCTTTTTCTTGTTCCAAAAAGGCTGCTCTTGTATGTGCTACATGAATAAATCATGTGTAAAATTGTTATTATGTACCTTCAAGTTGTTTCCAACTTGTGACTACCCAAAGCTAAGCTTGCCATGAGGTGTTCTTATTGGAATTTGTTTAGAGGTGATTTTCCCTGGCTTTTCTTTTAGGCAGAAAGAGTGTCTTGCTCAAGGTTGCCCTTGGGTTTCTACGGCAAAGCAGGGATTAATACTTTGGTCTACAGAGTTGTGGTCCAACACGCAGACTACTATAACGTACTGGCTGTAACTTAAACTTATTCTTATTCATAATTAATTGTGTAAATTGTATTCAAAAGCAATCAGAACGTGTGTTAGTGGGCACATGTGGTATAGAGACTACAGTTTGTCCTTGGGGAAGAAATGCTCTAGTTATATTCCCTTGAATGTTATAAAACAAACTGTTTTTCCTCCTGATCATCTAGTAAAATTTTAAAAACTTTTAAATATTGCTTCTTTTTTCCAGTGAATTGTGTGAAAGCTTCAGCTCCAGAAACAAAATATGTATGTGTAGGCCACTGGCTGTGTAAAAATGTAATGGTTCCATAAATTATAAAATTATGCATTTCTTTATTGTATGTTATCTTTGTACAATTCTGTATAGACTTAAGGCGTCTGAGAGCCTGTTAGGCTTTTTATCAATAAATCATTCATTCATAGAGGACCTTGCAATTAGTTTCCTGGTTTTTCCACTGATTTTATCTAGTGCATCACAGTTTTTACTTTCTGTGTATTTGGTTACTCAATCAGTTTTGCAATCTTGCCATTCAGTACAACAGTTGCATTGCCCAATAAACACACAACTGTGTATGTGGAAATTTGGACTGTACAAGAAATGCAGAAGGTTGGTCTCTTGTTTCCTTCTGAGGATTCTTCAAATTTCTGCCTGTTTTTCTCCACACTAGGGGTTATCTCAGGTCCTAAGAAAATACAGAATACAAAGCGATTCTAGTACTCCATTTTTACAAGATATTTACTATCTGCATCAAAACAACTGCAATATTGTCCATTTAATATTTATTACCTATATGCTATTTTCTGTTAATATCTAGTTAGTTGTACAAGTATGGCACACAACTTTGCTATTACGTCCTACCCACTCCCTGAACCATTTACACCGCAGTTAACTCAGAACTATCAGCTGCTATGTAATCTGGATTTTGAAAAGGGTTAGTGGCCTACACCTTTCTTTGTATACTTTCAAGTTGTCTGTTGATTCATGAAACACACACACACTCATTAAATTTATTGGATTTTCTTTTAGGTGCATATACACTGTAGTATTAAAGCAGATTGACAAGAGTTTATCTGCCATGGCTCAATGCTGTGGAATCATGGGAGTTGTAGATTTCCAAGATCTTTAATTTTCCCTGCCAGAGTTCTGGTGCCACACATCTGCTCCCAAGATGTCCATTCACCATAACACAGGAGAAGGCAATTTGGGGTTTTATCAGACTAGAGTTTTAAACTGGGAACCCTTGCTTGCTTGGCATCTTGTGCCTCCTGCATAATTCTGGGAAATGTAGTTTAGGGCGGGGCCTTTGCCATTCTCAGCTAGAGTGGTCCTCACCCTTCCCAAACCACATTTCCCAGAATTCTGCAGGAGTCAGAAGATGCTGAGAAAGCAGGGCAACTTCAGGCACATAAACTAATGTTTTATAAAAGTTTCAGTCCTTTAGTACTCTCTTCTCCAGCTTGCTTCCACCTTTGCCTCTGAGAAGACCTTCCTTAGAAAGTCTCACTGGCAATGCTCTGGGCCATCTAAGAAGGGTTCTTATCAGCTCTTCAGATGGCCCTTTCGGATCGTACCATTGGCACCCCACACACCTTTCCTCCTTACCTCATCACATGGTGGGGACATTACTCCTCCACTCTTTCCCCCATCATACAGGGAAAGGGGGAGTGTGGGTAGCTCCATTGGTGGAGAAAGTGCCTTTTTGGGCTTCCCCTCCCACACACACACATTTGGGAGGAATGTGGGTGGGGCCTGCCATGTGTCGTGTGATGGCGCATGGCAGGCCTAGTCCTTGCCATGAAACAAAGTAGTAAAACAGGGCAAAATTGCCCATGTGACAGTATCCTTAGAGTGTCTCCCTGCTGAAAAACTAGCCCTCTTCCATTAGCCATCTCTGCCTCTGAGGTACCCTTTCTAGCTATATACTACTCTCTTGTGGTTGCACTGAGCATTGCATATATACATACATATTTATTTGGGGTTTTTTTTTTGGGGGGGGGGGAGTTCTACCAAAAAAAATTAGTTGAAATCCCAACAGCTTTTTAAGATGAACAATGAAGAGTAGGTGTACTAAGTTTGGTGCAGATCCATCAAGCCATTTAGGAGTCTTTTGTGGCACAAACACACACACACACATCTAGGTTTATTTCCTTTAGATTAGTGGTTCCCAACCTATGGATCCCAAGATGTTTTGGCCTTCAACGCCCAGAAATCCTAACAGCTGGTAAACTGGCTGGGATTTCTGGGAGTTGTAGGCCAAAACACCTGGGGACCCACAGCTTGCAAACCACTGCTTTAGATAATACTCACACTTCTGCTTTTGGTAACACTCTTCTAGTTCAGAAATCCTACAATTAACTTTTGTCCCTATAGTTGTTCTGAAAAAAAGATAAATAAGCTCCAATATTTCTTGAAGGCGATCAAAGATGCCTTTAAACTGTTGGTAAATACTAGATATCACTTGAGGATGTCTTTGATGCAGTGCTATTTATATTTGTGTACCTATTTCTGTTTAGTGTCAGGAGCACTCTCTGGATAACAGAACCATGGATGCTGAAGTCTTGCTCTATATAAACAGGTATAAAAGTGCCTCTGCTTACATAAAGAGACAAAATCAAAGTTTGCTATTGGGAATTTGTTTGGAAGATGTGGACCCAATAATCTAATTCTCCACCAGATGGCGCTACTCTTCTTCCAGGATGCACCACAGACTGACACTCTTTTTCTGGGCTGCAATAGTTCATTTGTCCACCATTGATTGTTTTGTATTATTTTGTATTATTAAGTCATTCAAAGGCATATTGCAAATAACAGTGTGTACCAAAAAAAACCCTGAATAAATATACACAACATATGACTACATTTTAATAGATTCAAGAAATTGATGACTTAAAAATTAAGGAACCCTTTCGCTCTGACAGCCCTACAAGAGGCTCGAGTAGCAAATTGTACTTTTTGTTAAAATGACTATATTAAAATATTTCAGCTTCCTACTCTTCAGCAAGTAGGAACAACTCGCCCACACAGTCCAAAAAGAGGGAAATGAAACTAGAAATGAATAAGCCTTCTGTAAATATGTATAAATGACTAACTTGCAGTCCTTGAACATTTTTTGTTACTTCATCTTTTCTCTCCCCCAGCCTCATGTTTGAAATTCTTCTTTATGGTCTTAATGGTCTCGCTAGCTCTTTGTTTTCATTTCTCAGAAAGCATTGATTCTCTGTAACTTTCTTTCTCAGAGCTTTTATTCAGCTGTTGTAAATTGGAATTTTGTCAGTGTTATACCCAAGTGTATATTCCCTTCTAAGAAATCAAACAAACTTTTTTGTTTAATGGGTAATGTCTGCATTTAATTCAAGATTGTAAAAGTGGAGTTGGATACATGGTGTCACACTATACATCAGTGTTTCTCAACCTGGGGGTCGGGACCCCTGAGGGGGTTGTGAGGGGGTTTCAGAGGGGTTGCCAAAGACCACCAGAAAACATATTTCTGATGGTCTTAGGAACCCCTTTGGCAGAGAAGGCTGAAGATCTCTCCTCCTGTCCCTCTCTTCCTTTTTGGAAACAGAGAATCCTCCCACCAAAAGCCCTCCTCCACTGTGATTGGCCAGCCTCTCAGCTGGCCTCTCAGCCAAGAGGAGGGCTGTTTCTGAGACTCCAAGCAGGGAAGGGAGAGCAGGCATACTCGGTGCATGTGCGGGATAAGGGAGAGCACGCAAAGCTGGAGAAAGTCCCTTCAAGTCATGGGGATTCTGTGTGGGAAGTTTTGCCCAATTCTATTGTGGGTGGGGCTCAGAATGCTCTTTGATTGTAGGAGAACTACAACTCCAAAACTCAAGTTCAATGCCCACCAAACACTTCCAGTATTTTCTGTTGGTCGTGGGAGTTCTGTGTGCCAAGTTTGGTTCAATTCCATAATTGGTGGAGTTCAGAATGCTCTTTGATTGTTGGTTAACTATAAATCCCAGCAACTACAACTCCCAGATGACAAAATAAATTCCCCCAACCCCATCAGTATTCAAATTTGGATGTAACCGGTATTTGTGCCAAATTTGGTACAGTGAATGAAAATACATTCTGCATATCAGATATTTACGTTATGATTCATTACAGTAGCAAAATTACAGTTATGAAGTGGCAATGAAAATTTTATGGTTGGGTTAACGACAATATGAGGAACTGTATTAAGGGGTCACGGCAGGAAGGTTGAGAAACACTACTATACACAGATGTGCATTATTGCACATCTGCTCTGCTCCTTTTATAACAGACAGCAATACTCTTATCTATTGCGTTACACAATCAGTTATGCTACTCAAGATAGTAGTCATGTAGTACAATCAACACATACAGTAATTTTATGCAGATGTTTGTGCTACCCAATCCCAATGCAGAATGTTGGTCTTTGTTCCCTTCCTATTAATGACTTTTTAACAGTCTTCTCTCTTCATTTTCAAGTAATGCATGCCCCCCCCCCCATGTCTATTGGTGTTCGAAGTTCACAAAAAGATCCAGAACTACACATCAGCACCATATTCTCCAACCATCTCAGTATGACAGGAACAATCTTCTATCTCAATAGCTTTTAAATGTCATAGGTTCTCTCTCCTCAATTTCCCACTTCATGCTTGGTTTACTTTTTGGAATATAGTGAGTTCAAAGTGCAAGAGAATAACTTGCACTCCACTTTAGAGAGGGATGATAAGACGAGGAGAAGATGTATCACCCTTCTCAGAAAGATCTGGCAGGGTAAACCAGAACATCAGTTGCTATGTTGGGAGGTATTTTATAAATACTTCATTAAAAGCAGAAGAAGGGGACACCACTCTGATACTACCCATTCATACCTGTACCTGTCACCTATGAAATTTTAGAGGATGTGCAACCCTAGTTCATGGACCTGCATTTTGAGAAGCACTGCCCTGCAGTATAAAAGGCAGGGGAAACAACTCGATCTATAGAGTTAGACAAAGCTAGTGAAACTTTCACAACAGTAAACTTTTTAAAATGCAGATAATTTTGACCACAAAAGGAAACCCAAAATACAAATTGTGGTGATCCCCTTGTATCTAAAGTATCATGAAAATGTGAACAATAAATGTAGGGTCTGGTATGTCTTTGGGAGATGCTATATATACTCAACTATCAATTAATCTAATGAATAAATTGAGAGCAAGTTTGGGATCCGAAATTACAGAATTTGCTGTGACCCATGGATAGGTCATTGGTAACAAAGGATGTAAAGGATAAAGCAAAGGAAAATGATGCCAAAGAACTTCTGGTGGTCATAACTATCTTAAATACTATTACTGCCACTAAGCATGGAGTCAAGGGAGTTTATTCTTCTGCCCTGAGCTGTCTTCTGCATGGCTCAAACCAGTCAGAGTTTGATGGGTTGCTTTTTGATGATCCACTCCCTTGACCCCAAAATGGGATCGTGGGGGTGCCAAGGGAGTGGGTTGTTGAAAGGTAACCCAACAAATTCAAAGGTAACCCAGCCCAACAAATTACTCCTGACTTGAAGCACACAGAAGCCAGTCCACCTTGGGGCAGAAAGAAGGAATAATAATAAATAATAATAAAACCCTATCTCCCCAAGGGGGGGGGGGAGCCGAGGTTTCTGAAAAGACCCTAGAGCCCACTTCAAGCAGTAAGGAATTTGCTTGGTTCCTTACAATTCCTAACCAATTGGTTGCTTTTTGATTATCTGCTCTATTGGGCCCTATCCCCCCAGCAGCACAGGATCCCTGAAAATCCCTGGAAAACCATCCAGAATGATCACTACTAATTTGACTCTTTTGGAAACCAGCATTGACCCATGGGTAAGGTTTCCAGTGTAATTTTTTTGAAATAGAATGTATCTATTCAAGTCTTTACGGTTGGTGTGTTGCATCTGTTTCAACACAAAATTGAAAGGGCCTGCTGGAAGTAATCTAACTGCATGGTTAGGAGTCACCGATTCACTTTAGCATAAGCTTTTTTCCCATTTTATTTCTTCAGATGTACTGATTGAGTACAAGATTATAACTGCAGGTCTTCATGATGAAACAGCAGAAAGAATTGCGTTTAGGTTATTAATAAGATTGTATCACTTTGTCATATGTTAAGTTGGTCTTTCATTTTGACACTTGCCTTTATCTTACACTTCTGGATTCTCACTTTAGTCCAGTTTTTGTTTTCCTTTGGCCTCTGCCTATGTCCTTTCATCACGCATACACACATTCATTTTATTTGAATCACGATGTTCAGTAGTGATACTGTTACTTCACCACTGACAATAAACAGCAAAAATAAGATTAAGTTAATATCTCCCTATTTTCTAGCCTTGAACAAACACAGTGCTTCTACACTGCAGAACTAATGCAATTTGACACTACTAATTTATTTATTTCAGACATTTATATCCTGTCCTTCTCACCCCCAGAGGGGGACTCAGGGCTTCTTACAACCGGCAACCACTAGATGCCAGCAACAATAATAAAAACACAGTTAAACATTAATTAAAACATCATCCCAAGTTAAAAAACAATTTAAAAGAGACAAGTCCAAGTCCAGACTCATAATTAAAAATTGCCAATCCCATTATTGTCAATCACATGATTCCTTTATATTTGTTACTGCTGACTACAGTCCCACAGCCATGATTTCAATTTCTTTCTGAAGTATAGGAGAAAGGGAGCTGCCCTGATTTCATTAGGGAGTGTGTTTCACAGATGGGGGGCCACTACTGTGAAGGCCCTGTCCCTCATTCCCGTCAGATGCACCTGAGAAGGTGGTGGGATCGAGAGCAGGGTCTCCCCCGACGATCTTAACCTCCGAGGTGGATCATAGAGGGAGATATATTCAGACAAGTAAGCTGGGCCAGAACTGTCTAGGGCTTTATAGGCTAAAGTCAGCACCTTGAATTATGCTTGGTAGCAGACTGGCAGCCAGTGGAGTTGACGTAACAGGGGTTGGTATGCTCTCTGTACCCCGCTCCAGTGAGCAATCCGGCTGCTGACCATTGGACTAGATTCGGCTTCTGAGCAATCTTCAAAGGTAACTCCACATAAAGCATGTTGCAGTAATCTACTAACTGCTGAATGCTATGGAATCATGGGAGATGTAGTTTTTAAAGATATTTAATCTCCACCGCTAAAGAGTGCTGGTGTCTCACCAAACCACGACTTCCATGATTTCATAGCATTGAGCCATAGCAGATATGAAGCTGCATTAATTATCCAGTAAAGATACACCCATAGTTTCTAACATGCCTGAAGAAGTGGCATCTGCTTCAAAACAACCTGAAGTGCCAGAGTAAGAACTGCTAATGACATAATGCCTATATATAATTTTAATTGGAGATTCCAAATTAAAAGTCTTACTTCTAGGAAAATATGCATCTCTTCCCTTTTCATTTACTAATTACTAATTTGTAATGCTAACTAAAGAGGAATGTAAAACTTCCCCTTTTAGTGGAGGATAACAAACTTTAGAGTGGACTGCACAACAGTGATATTTTGTTTATCAGTCACTATGTTCTCCACCCATACAGTTGCGAATAGCTTTATCCGGTTGCAAAATACTCATCTTACAAACAGGGTGCACTCCCCCTCTCCTCAAACACATACACTTTTAAACTACTTTGAAAACACCGAAGCTATTATTCAATTTATGCTCAGTAAAGTTATATGATACATTTAAAAAAAAGAAAAGAAAAGAAAACAAAGCAAAAGCCACTTTGCTTCCAGTAAGTGACTTCTTTTTCTTTGTGAGTCTTCAAATGGATGAATGTTTCTCCTTTCCAATATATTTTAATTTCCCTAGAACAGAACTGGGGAATTTATGGCTGTCCAGATATTAGATATTTGTTCCTCGCACAAAGCTGCCTTCTCATGGCATTTGCACTATTACCAATCCTGGCAATTTACGGGGATGTTCACCATACTGCTGCAATTGTGACACTTCACCACCACTTCAGAAGGAGGGAACTCTGATCTCCCACAGTTCCATAAGCTTTCAAAATTATTTTTGTTAAAAATTAAAAAATATTTAACCTTTTCATTTAGGCTGATTGAATGGTGGAAAGTGGGGTGAGGTGGGGACAGGGTTATCGCACCCTCATATTGCTCCTGTGCTGGTGCGCTGGCACAGAAGTGTCTGGGGATCATCATACATGTAGGTTGCAACACCCAGGCACCATCGGGAGCTATTGACAGGTTTATTGACAGGTTTTTCCTGTCAATAGAAGGACATGGGTTTGTCATGTGACTGTGAACTGACAACAGATAGTGCACAGCATTGTGCAATAGAGACAATCACCAAACGTAACAATCCTCCTTCTATGCCAGTTTACCACCTCCATTTGACAAAGTCTGTTGTTTCACTTTGGCTCACATAATCCATGTTGGCTAGAACTAATGGAAATTGGATTACAGCAGCATTGGAAAGGCCATAGATTTTAATCTTAGGTTGGATCTATACTGCCCTGTATCTGAGGATCTGATTCCAAATTATCTTTCTATCCCAGATTATATTTTAGTGTACACTCATATAATCCAGTTTAAAGCAGATAAGCTGGGATCAGATCCTGGGTTATAAGGCAATGTAGATCCAGCCTCTGTGGGCACACATTCAAGAAATATTTTTTGTTAATGTCTAGTCCTGTGTTGTCGAAGATTTTCATGGCCAGAAACATTGGGTCGCTGTGAGTTTTCTGGACTGTATGGCGAAGTTTCAGAAGCATTCTCTCCTGACATTTCACCAACATCTATGGCAGGCATCCTCAGAGAATGTGAAGTTTGTTGAAAACTAGACAAGTAAGGTTTATATATCTGTGGAATGTCCAGGGTGGGAGAACGAACTCTTGTCATTTTGAGGCAAGTGTGAATGTTGCAATTGGTGACCTTGATTTAGTACTGTTATACTTGGATTTAGTACTGTTATCTTGGATTTGATATTGACTAATTTTACCAATCAAACCAAGTTGTTCATCAATCTATGGGCACTTCCAGACAGTGCCAAAATCCGCACCAAAGCAGATTTTGAAAAACTTGGTTTGACTGATGAATAACTTGGTTTGATTGACTTAACCTGGTAGAATTAATCAATATCAAGAAACCTGCTTTGTTATGGATTCCCATCCCCTATCCCAAAAAAACCTGGGCTTTCCTGGGTTTGGGGATCAGATCCTGGGATAGTGTAGGGCAGTGTAGAAGCAGCCTAAGTTTAAGGAAATGTACACACACACACACACACACACACACACACACACACAGCTATATATTTCCTGATGTTGAAGAGAGAAGTGAAAATATTCTCCTGATTGACAGATTTGCGAAACAGTTCCTGAAAAGCCACTAACTCTCAGACTTCTTAGTTTAAAGGAATGTTTAATTGTTTCCAATGTCTGCTGTGTTGCTTCTAAATTTGTTGTTTCTCATACAACCAGCTTTTCAAATATCAGGTAAGGTTTTGTTACTGCTTTCATCGTTGTTACTATATAGTCTATAATTTGATGGAGTTTTTTTTAATTAAAAAACTTTTGGTGTCATTGTTGCAAAAATGAATTGATTAATTCCTTTGCAGAACTCAGACTTTTCTCTTTAGATAAATTTGAAGAAAGATAACCTTTTAAAAAATATTTATTGAAATACTTAGTACTGAGTATAATAGTGAATAGACCTGAGCTTTTTAGTTAAAGTGCATAGTGGTGCTTAGACAAACTAAAAGCAGTTGTGGCTGGATCTACACTGTCTACATATCATACATATTATCACAGTAGATAATCCACATCATGTGCTTTGAACTGAATTATATGAGTCTACACTGCCATATAATACATTTCAAAGTAGATAATCTGATTTTATATGGCAGTGTAAATCTAGCCTGGGTGGGAGCAAACTGCAGTTTGTAGGCTCTGGAGAATTGGCATGAACAGAAAGTGCTTTCCACCTCCTTTTATCTTTCCTATCCAAATCGGCTTCTCCATGATACTTTATATTAAAATAAAACAGAAAGATCTATCTCAGATCTCACCCATGTCTGCTACTCTGGGTTACTATGGTAAGGCATACCATAGTAAGAATTTGGGTCAGTGAAAATCAGCTACGTACAGAATGATCTGACAAGTATTTCTCTACTATCTCTCTCAGGCCCCTGCCAGATAATCAAAATTATCAAACCAAAAGTCCACCTTATCTGCTTTGAACTGGATTATCTTAGTCTACACTGCCATATAATCCAGTTCAAAGCAGATAATGTGGATTTTATTTGGCAGTGTAGAAGGAGCCTCAGTCTTGTTGCCACTTATTCTCAGCATCAAGGCTATCTTCTTGTAAGTTATTGAAAAGTTATCCTGGAATATTATTGTTCCCATGTGCTGTCAAGTTACTTCTGACTTATGGTGACTCTAAAGCAAATCTGTCATGAAGTTTTCTTGACAAAATTTGTTCAAATGTGGTTTGCTACTGCTTTCTTCTGGGGATGAGAGCATGTTAATTGCTGAAGATCAATCAGTGGTTGGCCAAGGGAGAATTTCAGTCCTAATCCCTTGAAGTCATAGACACCACTTGAACCATTATATGCCACTAGATGTTATCTAGAAACATATTGGTGTCATTCACTTCTCTCAATTTTACAGAGCCTGACACTTTTCTGATACACAATGAACACCTCAATCTTTGTATACAATCTCTATCCATTGATCAACAACCTCTATCTATCATCCTGAAGACCTGCAATAAAGATAATGAGAGGCAAAATTTTAAATGGGTTTCTGAATACCAGATATTGAACATGGCAACAAAGTTGTGCCTGGCAGTGCCTTCAAAAACCAACCGGGTTCCAATCACATTCTCTCTGTGTAACACAACGAATGAACTTCAGAGATGGACCTGCAGGAATGAGAGCTTTCTGGCACTTGGGGAGGAAAATTTATTTTTACAACCTGCTGGTGGTCAGAATGACAATGTGGTATTATATGAAACAATCACCATGATGAGCACCTGGAAGATCTATAGAACAAAAGATAGTTTGTGTACCATGGGCTATGAAGGTAAGTGTCAGAAAAAGAATTCTCTCTCTCTAGATTACATTGTTTTTAGATATGTTCAGTCACCGGTATTTAAGAACTCAACTAACCACAATGCTTCCAGTATAATGCAAGTTTACTTAGCAAAGTTCTGTGTATGTTGCTCAAAATCTACAGGTTGCAATGATATGCTGATGATTTACAGTTTGCACTTCGGCAATTTTCTACCGGGCACAATTCAAAGTGCTGGCTTTAGTCTATAACACCCTAAAACAGTTCCGGCCCAGCTTACCTGTCCAAACGTATCTCTCCCTATCAACCATCTAGGAATCTAAGATAGTCTTGGGAGGCCCTACTCTCAGCCCCCTCCTTCTTCCCAGGTGCATCTGGCAAGGACGAGAGATGGGGCCTTCTTAATGGTGGCCACTTGGGACTCCCTCCCTGGGGATATTAGATCAACCTCTTCCCTACTGACATTCCGAAAAAAAGTAAAGACCTGACTCTTTGTAAGGTTGAAACATGGAACGGCTAAGATGACACTACTCAAAATGAGATTAACACAAAGACATTGGTTATTATATGTTTTTAATGGTTTTTGTATGGATTTTATAATGTTTAATTGAATATTGTGGACCATTATGGCATCAAATTGCTGCCAATTTGTAAGCTGTCTTGAGTCACCTTAGAGCTTGAGAAAGGTGGGATACTATAAATAAATAAATAAAGTAGCAATGCTGACTGTGAAGTGATAGACCATCTGCTTCTGGAAAACAAGAGATACTCCACTGAACTAAGAATAAATCCAGTCTAACTGAAGTAGTTTGATGGGGAAAATTGACTTCTATATATGTAATTGCATGGACTTAAGTTTTTCTGTTTAATGATATAGATGTCCCAAATGCTAGCGGCTTAGTGAATCATTAGTGGTGTAGTCTTGTAGCGTCAGTAAGCAAAGACTGGGAGAAAATGCATGTCACATGCTACTGCATATGTGTGTTTATACCAAAGCACATATGCACAAACGTACACACTTTGTATGTACATCTAACTGTTATAAATTTGGTTAAATTAACAGGATTTAATAAACAGAGTTCAAACCCTACTTACTGAACCTTGTTCTTATCTTAACCCTCTCTAGATGTTTTCCAGACTCACGTGTGCTGCTTATTTTATGTTCCTTTTAGCTTTGTTTACCTTAGAAGGCAATGCCTTTGGAGCCCCCTGTGTATTCCCATTCAAGTATCTGAATAGGTGGTATGCAAAGTGCATAACAGACGATGAAGACAATTCACGACTCTGGTGTGGAACAACTGCAGATGTAGATAAAGACTCTCTAACTGGATATTGTCCGGTGAAAGGTAAACCCTTTGGAAAGTGATGTTTAGGCATGTGTTTTCTACTAAAAGGTGTTGTTCATACATATGTATGTATGAATGAAACACACACACATAATACAAGGTTAATTCTGCATCATTATAGAATGTATATATAACCAACTGTCATGAACCAGAAGCTTTAAAGGAACCAAACACAAGTAAAAGGTCCAAACAAGGTTTATTATCCTATAACTCATCATCCAATGATGAACTGGTCTCCACCCTGTCTTCATTACTCCCAGGTGCTTTAGCTTCCACAGCTGCTCACCACCACCTGTCCCTCCAACTTTTCCAGCGCCTATGAAGACTTAGATCACCCCATGTATTACCAGGTTGCCAGTCTCCCGAAAACCCCTCAAACTCATCACTTGATGTGGGTTGAGTACATATGTCCCTGATTTCCTGCACACGGGTCCAGTCTAGCCCATCCTCCTCTCTGTTATCACTCTCAGTCCCATCACTCCCTGTGAACCCCATGAAATCTTCCTCCTCAGTTGGAGCATTAAGTATTTCACGGATCCGCTTTCTTTCACGTTCTTCATCTGAGTCTTGCTCCCGAGTAACCTGTTTCAAGCCTCTACTCCCATGTCCCTCCTCCTCCATCTCAGAGTCTGTGAAACCTTCGAATGACTCAGTATCTGTAGGTGTCATGAATATCTCCCTAATTCGCTTCCTTTGCTGCTCTTGTTCCAGCACCTGAGCAGCCCTCTTTCCCCTTCTACTACTAGTAGGAGCTTGATCAGCACACTGTACTACAACACCAACAGATCATATAATCTTTAAAATGTGTGGAGGCCAGTCCTTAAGACACAATTATCAAATTGAATTGAGGCGACTATGTATGGAATCTAAATTATATTGCACGTACCAATACCAACCAATCTATAAAGGTATAATTTCTTACACCAATAGTCCAGTCCAGCCTAAGGTAATCCAGTCAACACACATGGAAGACAATCCACAAAACATAAAAGAGCAGTATGAAGGACTATCTGAAATTCTGTCCCTCCTGCATCATGTCAGCTGACTTCTGCACCATCTATACTTAATAGGCCTGGTTGATCAAGAAAAAATTTGGTTCTAAAATCGATTTGTAATTGGGGTGTTTTTTTGTTTCGATATTTAAAATAATTACAAAATTTCCCCCAAAAAAGTTTTGGTATTTACGAAATTTCGTAAATATTAACGAATTTTTTAGAATATTTTTTGTATTTTTTAAGAATAATATTAAAATAATATTAAAAAATATTAAAAAATAATATTAAAAAATATTTAAAAATGGAAAATTAACCAAAAAATGGCCCAAATGTGGACCAAACACAGGCAGGAGATACAGCAAATGAGAGCACACACCAACAGAAGAGTCTTTTCTTTTTTAGAATATTTTTTAAGAATAATATTAAAATAATATTAAAAAATAATATTAAAAATAATATTAAAAAATATTTTAAAATGGAAAATTAACCAAAAAATGGCCCAAATGTGGACCAAACACAGGCAGGAGATGGCAAATGAGAGCACACACCAACAGAAGAGTCTTTTCTTTTTTAGAATATTTTTAAGAATAATATTAAAATAATATTAAAAATAATATTAAAAATAATATTAAAAATATTTAAAAATGGAAAATTAACCAAAAAATGGCCCAAATGTGGACCAAACACAGGCAGGAGACAGCAAATGAGAGCACACACCAACAGAAGAGTCTTTTCTTTTTTAGAATATTTTTTAAAAATAATATTAAAATAATATTAAAAATAATATTAAAAATAATATTAAAAAATATTTAAAAATGGAAAATTAACCAAAAATAAGAAACAAATTCACAAACACCGAAGGAAGTAATGAATCCAAGCAAGGAATATAAGCAGCACTAAGCACAGCAGCAAGGAATGAATCCAATCCAGTTGCTAGCCAAGCCAAGCCAACCCAATGCAAACCCTCCCGGACCTCTTCTCTCTCCCTCGCCCTCTGCAGCAATGAGCTACGGCCGCGCGGAGCCGCTTTGAAAGGGCTCGCCGGCCAATCAAAAACAAACAGCCACGGTGCACTGCTTGGGAGCGCCGGATTGGCTCCCAGGCACCAGCAGCCTCCATCCCATTAACGAAACGAGCGGAGGCTCGTTAAATCTATGGGGGTTGCCGGTTCGATATTTTTAAACCCTTCCGGGTTTGAAAATGTGTTTTGATATCGCTTCGTAAATGCCAAAAATAACGAATTAATAACGAATTACGAAATTAACGAACGAAACCGCACAGGCCTAATACTTAACTGTTTCCAAAGCAGTCCTAGGTAATCTGCATTACAGTAATTGGGTAGTCAAAATCTATTATAGTTTACTATATAATATTACAAGCATGACTTCTCACAATTTTGATGCTTAATCGGTGTAAATCGCTTCATTGAAAACCACCAATATTTTCTAGAATATGACATTTCACAGATGAAAACTAGGACAAGTCAGATCAGAATGTGATCAAACGTTTTGGCTAAGCAACAACAGGAGTGGAAATAGGTACTAAAAAGCACGTTTGTTTCAGCAGAAAAATAATACTGGTCTCTACATGCTTGCAGGCAAATGTTATTAAGGTGGAAGAATACACAAACTACCATTTGAAGCTGGGAAATCCTTGATACCCTATGTTCACAAAAAGCAAAACTCTACCTTCCCTCTGCTGAGTTAGTGTAAACTACTTTTGCACTTTGAACTCATATTCTAGCAACTAAAGTAAAGAATACTCAAAACTACAGTTTGAAGCTGGGAAATTAGAGGGGGAGGCAGGAAGAAAAACCAAGGCACTGTAAAAGCAGCTAAGAAAGGAAGGTGCTTTTAAAGAAATGTCCCTGTCAAAACAAAAGTGTTGGGTAGTATTTCAAGTTTTCAATTATTATCCACCACTGAATCTCTCTGTAGACACCCACTTTAAAGTTCTCACTTGCATGTAATGCAAATTTCAAGCTGAATGTTTGGACAAAAATATTTTTCTGTACATTAAGATTTGTACTCTGACAGTGTTCAGGATGTTCCTAGTACACAGGACTTCCTCTTTGTGAGAATTGACCACATGCCTCTAAAAGAAAACTTTACAGCAAATGTCTATCATTCTGGAAGCAAAAGATTTAGTGGGTTTTTACATCCTGTAGGTTTTGTGGAGTTGCAGGGTGAAGTTTGTAGGATTTTTTTAAAGCAGGATTTTTTTAAAGATTGACAGGAATTTGTAAGTATACAGAAATTAGAGGTGTCACTAATTAAATTTATATGAAAATTAATACTAAAGAGAAATTCTGAATTACTTCTATGTTACAGAGATCATTCATGAAAATAAGGCACAGACTTCTGTCTCTGTGTATAGTGATTTTTTAAAAAATTAATAAGATAATGGGTTTTTTAAAGGCTCACTTTTAGATTTAGCTTCCTAACTGATGATTTCATCATTTTACCGTTGTGTTTACAATACTTACAGGTGACCATGATGAATTCCTCTGGACTAAAAACCATTGGACAGGAGACTTCTACCAGATCAACTCCCATTCAGCTCTGACATGGTTCCAAGCCAGAAAAAGTTGTCAGCAACAGAATGCAGAATTACTGAGCATCAATGAGCTACATGAACAAACATACCTGACAGGTATAACAGTATTAAGCCCCACAAGTGCAAGGACCCTGGTGGTGTAAAATACAAGTAATTTTCTTCTCTGTTGACAGGATTAACAAGTGATATCAACACTGATTACTGGATAGGGCTGAACAGTTTGGATCTTGACAGTGGATGGGAATGGGCTGGTAACCATCCTTTCCGATATTTAAACTGGGCTTCAGGTAAGTGACTGTGGTAATTAAACACTGAAAAATATGAGCATTTTGTAAAGATTCAGCTAGAAACCCCAACCACCAGAGTGGGGTTTATTGCAAATAAAGAGGATTTGTGGGCTGTGCCACAATTTTTGAAATAATGCAAGTGCTGTCCAGATAGAATATAACAGCTGTATACAATCAGCTCTACCCATTAGCAGGCTTCACTTTTCTTGATTTGGGTATTCTCTATAGGAATCTCTAGGATGTGAGGGCGATCTGGCTGTGACATCTGTCACCCCCATTGATCGCCAGGGTTGATTCGGTTGATCTGGCTGGCTAGGCGGGTGTCCCCTTCCTCCCTCACCGCTCCATGTGCATCCCTCCCGAAGCTGCATGCTCAGTGGAAGAGGACGATGTCCCAGGTATAGAAGGAGTGTACTGAGGTCTCCAGTCTTCGGTCCCAGGTATAGGAATCTCTAGGTCTTCTTTGTGACTCTATGGCCAACGTCTGTAATAAAGTCACCCATTATAACTTAGAGCAGTGGTTCTCAACCTGTGGGTCCGAAGGTGTTTTGGCCTTCAACTCCTAGAAATCCCAGCCAGTTTACCAGCTGTAAGGATTCCTGGGAGTTGAAGGCCAAAACATCTGGGGAATCACAGGTTGAGAACCACTGATGTAGAGATTCATAGAGAGAGGACTTTCCTTGGCATTTGTAGGTCCTCCAGCATGATTCAACGGTCAAACTCCAGCAAAGTTCATTTGTTGTATTAAATTTTTGAGAAACACTGAGATTTACAGATATGACATGTTGCCACATTTTGTTTTGGGCCCCTCCAAAATCCAGGATGTACATCATAGCAATTTACATCAGTGCAAATATTTCCAGGAATGCAGAACATTGTCAGCCTGCCAATTAGATCTCATGTGCCTTTGAAAACTTTGTCCGCCAGTGCTTCTGTGTTCTTCAAAACCTCGTCAGCTTGTCAGTCTGCAAAACATGAGCTGCTGTACCATACAAAATTTGTCCAAATTTGAGCTTATTTTATGTAACACCAGGCATTAAATAGCTCCTACCTCTACTTTCCAATCAATGGTTGATGATAAAGACAGAAGAAACTCATCCTCAAAGTTGTTTGTGCCCTAAAAGTCTTCCTATGAATATAATGAAACCTCTGTATTCAATTCGTACAAAAATTATGAGCTATTACTAGGAAGGATAATGTCTTTGAATCATGGGGGTGGGGATCGTAAATGAATTACTTAGAACCAACATATTGAATTTAACATGTGTTTTTTCCAAAGTGTGATTGATAGACTGTGATCTTGAAATGCCACTAAGCAATAATAAATGAGAACTAATTGGAGAATATTTGCATGTTTCAGGTATAGGTATGTTAAAATGGGTTGATTTGGTTCCTCTTCCTCTTTATTTTTTTTAAAGGTAGTCCATCTCCAGAATCAGAAAAACTATGTGGATCAATGCAGTCTAAGAATGGTAACTGGGCAAACTACAAATGTGATCAGAAACTTGGATACATTTGCAAAAAAGAAAACTCTTCATCTGATTCTTCAGTTATTCCTGCAGGTAGGAGGAAAAGCAGGAAATGATGTTTATGTATTGTTGTGGATTTTGAGAATGAGGGAATGTTTCATTATGTATTCAGTATGTTGTTGTTGTTGTGTTCCTTCAGTCAATTCTGGCTTATGGTTATAGACAAACCTATCACAGGATTTTCTTGGCAATATGTGTTCAGTGTGGGTTTGCCTTTGTTTTTTTCCATGGCTAAGGGAGCATGACTTGCCCAAGGTCATCCCAGTGGACTTCCATAGCTGAGCAGGGATTTGAACCCTGGTATTCAGAGTCATAATTCAATGTTCAAACATTATAAACATAAGAATCATAAGACACAGGTTCAAATTTGAAATAGATTTCCACAAAGAACTTTGCAGTAGTGATTTACTATATTTTAGTGACAGTTGTTGTGAACTTGTGACTGTTTCCGGGCTCTTGCCATGGCTTTGATCAGGCATCCTCAAACTGCAGCCCTCCAGCTGTTTGGGCCTTCAACTCCCAGAATGCCTGACAATTGAACAAGCTCATTGGGCCTTCTGGGAGTTGGAGGCCCAAACACCTGGAGGGCTGCAGTTTGAGGATGCCTGGTTTAGATAATAAAAATCAAGAGCAGAAGCAAAATTGATGCTCACTCTGTTATGCAAATGTATATAGACAAGATCATGTTGTTTTATTATATATTAGATCCTTTGACACTTCTCACCTTTGCTTATATCTGATTTTAATATTTAGTTTGACTCCTATCTCACATTATTATAGCAATATGTGCACAATAGCTTTTCCACAAGAAAGATATCATAGGATCCATTCCTGAGACTTCAGTTCTATGAAACCATCTATATAAATGGGGAGCATGCATTGCATATACACAGGCTCTATATTTTTAACTCTAGTTCCTTCTATTTATTTACTTTGCTTATATACCGCTGTATCTCAAGCCCGAAGGCGACTATTTCTACTTTAGAGATTGTACGTTTGCTGCCAAATTTATTTTTCAAGATACAGTTATTGGAAAATCCATAATCTATTGAAAATAAGTGCACCATACCTTATTGAAAAGGTAAAAATGATGTCACATCCGTTTGGCAAATATTAATCTCCATGAACATGTGGAGACCACCTTTTGGAAACCACTAGTCAAGAAAAGCATGACCTTGTTAGAAGTCAGCCCTTTGAACAAGTGATATTCATAAGCATTCCTATAATGGCACACAGGTAATTCAGCTGTTAAACTGAAGAACCATGTCTTTAAACTGCCAAGGATAAAGACATGCCACTACAAATATATATTTGGTTAGCAGAAGATGGTTGTTTCTTTGAAGTTGACGTTGCTCAAGTACTCTCCCTTAAAAACCTCTTGTTTAAAATATGCACTCAAGAGACAAAAACAATGTAGTCTTTTTTTAAAAAAAACATCTCAAGTTTACTAACAAACTTCTTGTATATACTCAACATATTAATCCATAGTCCAATGTCTTTAAGCATATATTTATTTATTTATTTATTTATTTACTTTATTTGTATACCGCACTATCTCAGCCCGCAGGCGACTCAGTGCGGTTTACAACAGGTCAATATACAAGGTGCACAGCATTAGCATTAACATTTAAACAATAACTAAAGCAACTAAAACAATACAACAATACATCAGTAAATCAACATGACATCAATACATCCATATAACTAATCCAACACGTCTCATCAGTAAAGTCATAATCCGATCTCCTTGTCCATTATTCCAAGTTCCAAATTCCAAGTTCCAAACTCAGTCAATTGATTGCACTGCTTAATTGAACGCCTGTTCAAAGAGCCAGGTCTTCACTCTTCTCCTGAACGCCAGCAGGGAGGGGGCCGACCTAACGTCTGCGGGAAGGGCGTTCCACAGCCGAGGGGCCACCACTGAGAAGGCCCTGTCTCTCGTCCCCGTCAGCTGTGCTTGTGAGGCTGGCGGGATCGAGAGCAGGGCCTCCCCGGACGATCTTAATGTCCTAACTGGTTCATAGGGGTGATGCGTTCGGACAGATAGGTCGGGCCAGAACCGTTTAGGGCTTTAAAGGCTAAAGCCAGCACTTTGAATTGTGCCCGGTAGCAAATTGGCAGCCAGTGGAGCTGGCGCAACAGAGGAGTGGTGTGCTCCCTGAGTGCCGCTCCTGTTAACAACCTGGCTGCCGATCGTTGGACCATTTGTAGCTTCCGAGCCGTCTTCAAAGGCAACCCCACGTAGAGAGCGTTGCAGTAATCTATACGGGATGTAACCAGTGCGTAGACTACCGTGGCCAAGTCAGACTTCCCAAGGTATATAGATATAGGCCAAACTGTATAACTGTACTCACTGAGGCCTGAAAAGAGACAAACTACATCCACCTCCATTAAGTTATAAAAGCGTACTGCATAACAAAAATGGAGTCCTGTGCTTGAAGTTCCTCCCACACCAAAGAGGTACAGTGTTCCCTCAGTACTTTGCAGTTCGCTTTCTGCGGACTCGCTGTTTCGCAGGGAAGGAGGATGGGGGAAAGTAGGAGGAAGAGGGCATATTTCCTTTCCAAAGGTTCAGAATTGTTCAAGCTGAAGGCATCAGAAGATCACACGGGGAAAGAGAAAGGGGGAAAGGAGGAGGAGGAGGAAGATGGCTTGCTTCTTTTCTTTCCTTCACTGCATGAGCAGGGGAGGAGGAAGGGGAAAAGGAGGAGGAGGAGGACTTGCTTCCTTTCCTAAGGTTTGAGGTTGTGCAAGCTGAAGGCATCAGAAGATCGTGCAGGGAAAGAGGGGGAGAAAAAGGAGAAGGAGGAGGAGGGCTTGCTTCTTTTCCTTCTGTAGAGAAGTGTTTATTATAAAGGGTTTATTGTACTGTGTT